GCAAAATAATACCATATTATCACTGAAATAAATATCAAAACTGAAGAACTATATGTTGACATTTACATAGGTAAATAAAAAGACTCAATGATGGGCAACATAACCTGTGGAAATCTGCAGATTTCAGCGTATTCAGATTTCTTGTGAGATTAATGATGTTCTATTTGTATTCAAACAAATGTGGCTGGTGAACTTTTTCATGCTCCTGATCAGACAAATTCCCATGACTTTGGATTTTGGATTTCGCCCACATTTCCGCACCTTCAGATTGACAAAGTTGACATCAAATCCTCATATAATCTGCTTTATTGTACAGAAAAAAGTACAGAAGTGCCTCTTTGGAACAAAGGCTCGCTAAAGATCTTCTAGACTCGTAACATTGTTCAGCTACAGCCCGAGCAGCTTGCGTACAACTTCATGATTTAGAGCTTTTTTGTCCCTTTGCACTCGATGAAGGACTAAAACCCTGAGGATATTTTTCCTCCTGCTTTTGGAGGAGCTGATGTTTCTTATAATTGTTCACTGAAGTGAATCAGCCACCACAAAACACTGCAGCACATTGAGAGCACTAGCAGAGGGCACAGGGAAGGTGACGAATTGGCAGTGAGAATGAACTTAATCCCCTAAGCTCTTGTTGGGGCTTGTCTTTGCTGTCCCTTCTTCCCTAGAAAAGACCCCGCACTCACAAAGCAACTCAAACAAGAGCTCCCACTCTGAGCCTGTTGAATGCACACAGAGGAGGGGAAAAAATCATGTACATATCTTTGCTTTGTGCCAACTGTGAGGGGAATGAACCAGCAGCTGCAACTTTTCTGTCAAAGTTGGAATTGATAATGTCAGAAAAGCAATGCCAGAAAAATTTATAAAGAATGCAATGTTTTTTTTTCAGCTGTTATATCTAAAAGCAAAAGTAGATCATTAAACTCATTTGGATGATTTTGATACCATATTACAGTCTATACTATATTATAGTGATAAAGCAATATTGAAATAGACAGATATATTTGAAAACATATACATTAATGCAATCTTATGAAACAGAATTTGATCATAAATCTGTCTCAGCACATTCTGTTAATTTAGATAAATGAAGCGAAGTCTCTGAAAATAAATACAAAACATAAATGGCATAAAATAAAGGATGTAGAGATCCACCAGTGTGTTAAACAGCAATATTATCAGTCAGTTTTTAATTTTTTTTTATCTTCATGACTATAACATGAATATAATGGACCAATAATTCATTAATTTACTGCAATAATTAGGTACAATGTCTTTGCAATCTAACATTTTTGATGTAAAATAATTAAATGGTTCCCAAATCAAAATTGAAATCAATGCATGTTTTTTAACTTTTTAGAACACAATCAAATCAGTAATTTATTAATTCAATCATTTTATTCCGCTTAGTCCCTTTATTTATCAGAAGTCGCCACAGCGGAATGAACCGCCAACTTATCCAGCATATGTTTCATTACTGGGAAACATGCACACGCATTCACACACATACGCTACACTCTCAGAAATAAAGGTACTCGAGCTGTCACTGGGGTGGTACCTTTTCAAAAGGTACAAATTTGTACTTAAAGGGTACATATAGGTCCCTTAAAAGTATATATTAGTACCTAAACATTTTAAGAGGAACTCTTTTGTACTTTTAAGATACTAATATGTATCCTTGAGGTACTAATATGGACATTTTAGGTACAAATTTGTACCTTTTGAAAAGGTACCACCCCAGTGACAGCTCGAGTACCTTTATTTCTGAGAGTGCACAAACAATTTAGTTTACCCAATTCGCCTATAACGCATGTTTTTGGACTGTGGGGGAAACTAGAACACCTGGAGGAAACCCACGCGAACACGTGGAGAACATGCAAACTCCATATAGAAATGCCAACTGACCTACCTGGGACTCGAACCAGCGAACATCTTGCTGTGAATCGGCAGTCCTAACCACTGAGCCACCATGTAGCCACCAGTAATTTAATTTAATTGCAAACATTTATAATTTTAAATATGCTATAAAATTGCAAATATTTAATAAGTATTTAAATCAGTAATTGTGTGTTAAATTTGGAGTTGGCAGAGAAAATGAAGCCTAAATGAATAGACTCTGTCATGAATGAAAAATTCTGTCATTGTTGCTAACATGAGAGGCATATCCAGCAGTTCCCATAAGAAACAAATCATCCATGTTTCTGCAAATGAACAAAACAAAAAAAAAAAACACGGGTCATAGAAAGGGCTTCATATAGTGCCAAATCTTGGTCAAGCATTTGATTTACCGAGCCAAATTCAAATATCAGAAGCACTTTCTATGAAACTGGTGACATTTAATTGTTAATATTCTCATAAAAGACTTCAATGTCTTACAACCCCATAAAAAAATCCAGCTTTAACTTTAAGCTGCAGAAAAATAGTCATCTAGTCAACTATTTATACAAGTTTCAAAGATTTCCAATACATTATAATTCATACAGTATATGATAACAGTAATGTTCTTTTGTTTCATTTCTCATGAAAAAAAACAAGTAGTTAATGCAACAACTGAAGCCAATATTTGGCTGATTTGGACATGAAGAGAGAGATTATGTGAAAGGAAATGAGAGGCATCCTTTTCATGACAAGGTTACCTCAGAGGTGACCTGTTATAAGCCTGGATAATAAGATTACTCTCCTCAGAGGACACTTTTGATTGACTGATCCTCAGCCAGGCCTGCGTTCTTGCACTCATAACCAAAACAATCTTTTTTTGCTCAAACTGCTTGTGTTACCATTCCTGAAGCGGATGTTTAACACAGGTTATCTTGATTTTTATGCCTCTGCATTTACTTTTACACTTACTAAACTTACAAAGAGGTGAATCAAAATAGGAAATACATTCACAACCTTTCTACTGTAACAAATATATTATACATGTGAAATAGATTTTATTATTAAAACAAGGATATCTACAGTCGAAGTCAGAATTATTAGCCCCCGTTTATTTTTTCCTCCAATTTCTGTTTAACAGAGAGAGATTTTTTCAACACATTTCTAAACATAATAATTTTAATAGCTCATTTCTAATAAGTGATTTATTTTATCTTTGCCATGATGACAGTAAATATTATTTGACTAGATATTTTTCTAGACACTTCTATACAGCTTAAAGTTACATTTAAAGGCTTAACTAGGTTAATTAGGTGAACTAGGCAGGTTAGGGTAATTAGGTAAGTTATTGTATAATAATGGTTTGTTCTGTAGACTATCAAAAAAATAAATATAGCTTAAAAAGGCTAATAATATTGACCTTAAAACAGCTTAAAAAAAAAAACAAAACTGCTTTTATTCTAGCCAAATAAATAGGACTTCCTCCAGAAGAAAAAATATTATCAGAGAGACTGTGAAAATTTCTTTTCTCTTAAACACCATTAGGCAAAAATGTAAAAAAAATAAAATAAATAAAAAATGAAAAGGGGGCTAATAAACAGCAGCAATGTATACAGTACTGTTGTATTATATACACTGCCAGTCAAAAGTTTCGAAACGTTATTTTTATTCTTTATTTGATTCATATAGAGTTAATATAGATATTTTTCATATAAATATATTACATTTAATTAATATACTAATGTTAATATAACATTAATATTGTGAGTCTTCTATTTAGAATAACTGCTTTGTGCATTTATTTCTGTCTCATTATTCTAGCCTTAATCGCATGACTCTTCTGAAAACATAATGTGTTATTATTGTTTTTATTACCCATTTTTATCTTATTATTATGAAACCAAATACATTTTACTTTTCACAATACCTGTTAAGAGCATTGAGTGGTTTCCTGTATTCTCTAAGTCATCATCTTTTCTAAAAATGTTGGAGACAGACATTCATTGACTCGCATAGCAGAAAAAAAAAAACATTAAGGAAATCAATAGCAAGCAGTTTCTAACATTCTATAAAGTATCTTCCTTTTCTGAATTAAACAAAAAAATAAAAATTTGTTTTTTCTAAAGTTCTTTTCTTTAAAGTTGGAAACAGGTTACCATTGACTCCTATAAAATAGAAACAAAATACTAAGGAACCAATAGCAACTGGTTTACAATATTCTTCAAAATATCTTCTTTTCTAAAACAAAGTTAATTATTTTTTTACTTTATTAAATATATTACATTTAAAAAATATATTATTGTTAATATAACATATAATAGTCTTCACATTTACAGTAGAATGACTGTTTGCTTTGTGAATATATTTCAAAATGTTATTTATTTTTGTATCATTATTCTAGCCTTATCACATGACTCTTCTGAAAACATAATGTTTATTTGCTGCAGTATTTTTCATTAATTATTATTGTTGTTCCCATTTTATCTTATTATTGTGAAACAAAATACATTTTACTTTCCCAACACTCTTTGAAAAGTATAATACAAGGTTTAAAACAACTGAAATTATTTGAAATAGTTAAACAAATATGTTTGTAGCATTATAAATGTTTCTTTGTCACATTTGTTTAATATAACATCCTTGTATATTATTTTAAGAGAGAAAAATCCTGTAAACTTTTACAGTTTTCCACAAACAAATGAACTATATTCAACACCAGTAATAATTATAAAGGTTTATTTAGCACCAAATCATATTATTTTGATTTCTGAAAGATATTGTGACATTAAAGACAGGAGTTGTGATTGAATACCAGGACTAAATATCATTTTGAAATATATTTACATGGAAAACATTTTTGTACATGTAAATACCAATTCACAACACTAGTTTTATTCCATTTTTAATCTATTTATCACAGCTTTAGTGTACAGAAGAGACTTTCAATGACTATTTTAGTTCTTCTTTTATATTATTATTATTATTATTATTATTATTATTATTATTAACATTTTGCTATACAAGTAATGTTTAGGTATTTGGAAAACAAGTCCAAATATGTGGGAAAGGGAGCAAACACAACCAATACAGTACATTTTGTAAAACTTCAGATAAACAGACTAAAATCAGAAGGTAAGAACAGTTTTATTTAGTTATGAGACTTTATACAACTGTACATGCCTTTAATGAATGCCTGTAAAGAGAGAAGTGAAAACGTGCACTGAAGAGGCTTTTGGATTGTGGGGATTGTATCTGCGCTGTATCTACACTGCCCTCTACTGTTAAAACACTGTGCCTCCTATCACTGACAAATATTTTGAGAATTATTCAAATAGTCTATATAAATAAATTAATAAATATCATAAACTGTATACATATAAAAAGACCTGGCCAAGGTCCCAGGAGAACTGAAATGCATCCATGCAGTATTTATTTCATCCATCTGCAGTCCTGTAAATATTTCCACTGCTATTGTGTATCACAGGCTGCTTTACATACATGCGTTATTATGATTCATTTCTTACTGTTATACAGAAACCACATCAATACTGAGCCAAGAAATGTGTTTAAAAAATAGCACATGAACTGAACTGCAATTTCAACCTTAAGTACAAATAACACAACAATAAAATACAATTATTATTGTATTTTATAATACAACAATAAAATAAAATGATTTTTTTTTTTACGTAAAACTGTATAAAATGATGAGAGGTCGGTCAGTTTTAGTGTAGCATACAAACAAATACAAAAGCCTAAACAAATTTACTCAATTTATACAAAAAAAAATCAAAAATCAAATAAATTCTAGTACTGGTTCACAGACTTTGTGTTTCTCTTTTCAGTGACTGCTTTGGCACTTTACGTTAAAGTGAAAGTTCACCTAAAAGTCCAAATTTACTCAACAATATTCCATAAAATCTCCCAAACTATAACAAGTCTCTTACTTCAATTGAACCCAAAAGAAGATATTTTGAAGAATGCTGAAACGTTTCCTGTATTTTTTTTAAAACATCATCTTTTCTAAGAATGTTGGAGACAGACATTCATTGACACCCATAGCAGGAAAAAACATGGAATTTAATACCAAGCGGTTTTCCAACATTCTATAAAGTATCTTCTTTTCTGAGAATGTTGTAAACCACAACAGAAATCAATAGGAACTGGTTTCCAACATTTTCTAAAGTATCCTCTTTAAAGTTTGAAACGGGTAACCATTGACTCCCATATTACAAAAAAAAAACAAAAAAAAAAACTAAGGAACCAAAGGCAACTGGCTTACAACATTCTTCAAAATATCCACTTTTCCAAGAAAGTTTGAAACCGGTAACCATTGACTCCAACTAAGAAAAATACTATGGGATCCAATAGCAACTCATTAGCAACATTCACTAAAATATTGTCTTTTCTAAGAATGCCGGTAAACCAGAAAACCATTCACTCACATAGGTGGAAAAATACTTTTAGAATCAATAGCAACTGCTTTACAACATTCTTCAAAAAATAGTAGGAAAAAAACTGGAATTCAATAGCAAGCAGTTTCCGACATTCTATAACGTATCTTATTTTCTAAGAATGTTGGAAACTAGTATCCATTCACTCCTATAGCAAGAATATAAATACTATGGAAATTAATAGCAACATATTTCAAACATTCTCTAAAATATCTTCTTTTCTAAGAATGCTGGAAATAGATAGCCATTGATTTACATAGTAGGAAAAATACTATGAGATTCAATAGCAACTGCTATCCAACATTCTTCAAAATACCTTCTTTTTAAAGAATTTTAGAAACAGGCACTTATTAAGTTCCATAGTAGAAAAAAAATGATGCAAATCAATAGCAACTGGTTTTTAACATTTTCTAAAATGTCTTCTTTTCTAAGAAAGTTGGAAATAGGTAACCATTGACTTCAATATTAGAAAAATACTATGGGAACCAATAGCAAGTTGTTTCCAAAATTCTTCAAAATATCATATTATCTAAGAATTTTAGAAACAGCCACTCATTGACTCCCAAAGTAGAAAAAATAAATATGGAAATCAGAAGCAAGCAGTTTACAAAATTCTCTAAGTGTCTTCTTTTCTAAGAATGTTGGAGACAGGCATTCATTGACTCCCATAGTAGGAAAAAAAAACATTATAGAATGTTGCATACCACTTGCTATTGAATTAAGTATCTTCTTTTCTGAGAATGTTAGAAACCAGTGGCCGTTCACTTTCATAGTACAAATAAAATACTATGGAAATCAATAGCCACCCATTTCCAACATTTTCTAAAATATCTTCTTTTTTAAGAATGCTGAAAATAGTTGATTTACATAGTAGGAAAAATACTATGAGAATCAATAGCAACTGGTTTCCAACAATTTTTAAAATATAATCTTTACTAAGAATTTTAGAAACAGGCACTCATTGAGTCTCATAGTAGAAAACAATACGATGGAATCAATAGCAACTAGTTTCCAACATTTTTTATCTTCTTTTTTAAAAGAGTTGGAAACAGGTATCTATTGACTTCAATATTAGAAAAATACTATGGGAACCAATAGCAACTTGTTTCCAACATTCTACAAAATATCTTATTATCTAAGAATTTTAGAAACAGGACAAATACGATGGAAATCAATAGCAAACGGTTTCCAAAATTCACTAAAGCATCTTCTTTTTAAGAATGTTGGAAACCAGTAGCTGTTCAGTCCTACAGCAAGCTAAAATACTCTGAAAATTAATAGCAACTCATTCCCAACATTCTCATGTAAAATATCTCCTTTTCTAACAATGCTGGAAATAGATAGCCATTGACCATAGCAACCAGTTTCCAACATTCTTCAAAATATCTTCTTTTCTAAGCATTTTAGAAACAGGCACTCATTGAGTCCCATATTAAAAAAACACTATGTAAATCAATAGTAACTGGTTTCCAACAATCTCTAAAATATCTTCTTAAAATGTAACCACCAACTGCCATAGTAAAAAAGCTACTGGTTTCCAATATTGCTTTTCTTTCACATTCAACAGAAGAAGCTGAAGTGAAGTGAAATTGGTTTTGGGTGAACTGACTCTTTAAATAAACAAACATTTAATACTGGATTCTTCCTTGCCCATTTCAAAACAAAACAACAACAAAAGTGCACGCCAATTTGAAGCTCAGGTTAGGCTTTCAGGCTCATCTGACTCTGGTTTCTTGCAGAACATGGTGGAAAGTTCCTGTAGCAGTAGTTCCTGTTGCGGGCTGCACGAGCGGTGAGCTCTGTGTCGACCTGGGATGGGCAGAGAGTCAGAAGATCCATCGTGGCTCAGAGCATCCAGAGACTCACCTGAGGACACGAATGGCCTGGAGCCCAGCATGCGGTCCAGAGATGTGGTTTTCCTCTGTCCCAGGCTGATGGGTCGCATGGGCACTTCCTGTGTCTCTGCATGGCCGCTGGACAGAAAACTGGTCTCCAAAGACTTGAGCACCTGCAGGCCGAAGTCTCCCACCTCCTCGTATAAAGGCTCGGGGATTTCAATGCGCTCCTCAAATGAGTCCTGCTGCTGTATCTTCATGGGCTGAGGAGGACAAATGGGAAACAACAATGACATACTGTACTGAGAGGTATGAAGAAACAGGTCTAGTAAATTTTAAAAGACTATACTTAACTGCAGTGTGTTATGTCACTAATCCAATAGCAAAGTTCTTGTAATGGCTTTCATTAAAATAAGGCCATTCATTTTATTAATAATGTCTTTTAATTAGGTAAAAACATACAAATGTGTTGAATTAAATTTAAAACAGCAGTATGAGAAACTATCATTCACTAAATAGCAAATTGCCAATTTTATTTTAAGAGGGAAAAAACAATGTACTATTATAAAAATGTACATTTATTTATTATATTATTAATGCATTATTGCTGATATTGTTATTTAAGATAACTATACTGTTTTATAATTATTATTTTCAGTGTTGTTTGGCTTTAAGTACAATACTGTAATATATTAAATAATATTAATTATAATAATTTATTTCATTATATACGCTATATACCACAAACTTTAATGTTACAATTTAATTATTGTACTGTATTACTTTTGTTATATAATAATATTGTTGCATAAGTCAAATATGAATAATAAACTACCTGACAAAAGTCTTGCCGCTTATCTAAGGTATGGGAACAATAAATAATAACTTGACTTCTAGTTGATCATTTGGTATCAAATGTGGCTTATAAGGCCTCTAGATTACATTTATTTTACCAAAATAAAATATGATCATGTCTTGATTTTTTTAATTATTTATTTAGGACAGTATAGTCTGACTTTTCTTAGACAAAAGTCTTGGCAATTAACAGAAACAACGTACAATATAGAATATAAAGTGATGGTGCATAGAAAAAAATATATATTGTGTATGACTCCCATGAGCTTGGAGGACTGCATCCATACAGCTCTGCAATGACTGAAATCACTCATAATAAAGTCATCTGGAATGGCAAAGAAAGCATTCTTGCAGGACTTCCAGAGATTCTTTGGGTTAATTTCATCTTACCCCAGACATGCTCAATAATGTTTATATCTGGTGACTGGGTTGGAGAATCCTGGAGCTCCTTGACCTTCTTTGATTTCAGGAACTTTGATAGGGAGGCTTAATTATGAGGAGTGCTATCCTGCTGAAGAATTTGCCCTCTCCTTTGGTTTAGGGGCAGCATAAATGTCTTGATACCTCAAGCTGTTGATGTTTCCATCCACTGCAGATCCCTCAACACGTCCCCATACTGAATGTTACCCCAAACCATGATATTTCCTTCAAACTTGACCGATTTCTGTCAGAATCTTGGGTCAATGCGGGATCCAATAGGTCTTCTGCAGTATTTGTGATGATTAAGATGCAGTTTAACAGATGATTCATTGGAAAAATCTACCTTCTGTCACTTTTCCAAATGATCAACTAGAAGTCAAGTAATTATTTGTAGCTCGTACAACAGGGATCGACGACAAGACTTTTGTCAGGTAGTGTACCATTTCATATTTATATAATAAACACTCGAAAAATATGTTTGCATTTTGTTCAAACTACTTATTTAAAATGAGAGGAAACAACACAATTCTTGAGTTGTTTGAACAACTTAATTGTTTTATGTTCAATCAAAAACTAATAAGCTAACTTAATTAAATCAATTGAGTGAAACCCAGCATTTTACACTGTATAGCATCATATTCAAAAATCCACCATCATTATCATATTATTATAATACACTGTAACTCAGACGTGATTGTTGATCTACAGAATTACAATCTAATAGTAAAAAGCAATAATGTAGTAGTGAATATAATATTACATAAACCTTATATTACGCAACAATAACAATTATAAATGACAATTTTAAATAATATTAAAAGTATGATGCAAATTTCTTTCAATGATAATGTCTTGAATTTATTAAATAGTATTATGTTGTTGTTTTTGATATCAAATTTAATCGCCTCCACCAGGATTTTGAGAACCCAGTGTTTTTTGAGATCAAAAAAGAGAATGTTACAGGGTTTTTGTGTATTTTCACAGCAAAACTCAATTAAAGCAAACAATAGCCTAAATTTAGAGAAAAGAGGTCACAAAATCAGTCATTTTAGCTCACAAAAATAAAGCCCCACCAGAAGGGGAAAAAATACATAAAAATATATTGAAGTACACATGAAATCAAAACTAACAATATTGATTTTGTTAGCTCACATTGTTAGTTTTGTGGTGAACGTCATTTAAAAAAAAATCATTTGACCTTGTAATCTCAAAATAAAAATTTGAAAATGCTCTTCTCAGATTATGTCAGAGGTATTGTGTCACAATACAAAAAAAATTTTAAAATACGGTGTGACAATACAAAAAAAAATTGTTGCAACTTCCGGTTCATGCAGGCTTGTAAAGAATTATTAGCCCCCATTTGATTTTTTTTCTTTTTTAAATATTTTCCACTGATGTTTAACAAAGCAAGGACATTTTCACAGTATGTCTGATAATATTTTTTCTTCTAAAGAAACTTGTTTTAATTCGGCTAGAAAAAAGGCAGTTTTCAATTTTTTAAACACCATTTTAAGGTCAATATTTTTAAGGTCAATAAATTTTTCAAATTTTTTTGATAGTCCTTAGAACAAACCATCATTATACAATAACTTGCCTAATTATCCTAACCTGCCTAGTTGACCTAATTAACCTAGTTAAGCCTTTAAATGTCACATTAAGCTGTACAGAAGTGTCTTAAAAATATCTAGTCAAATATTATTTACTGTCATCATGGCAAAGATAAAATACATCAGTTATTAGAAATGAGTTATTAAAACTATTATGTTTAGAAATGTGTTAAAGAAATCTGCTCTCCATTTAACAGAATAATTCAGGGGGTTTAATGACTTCAACTGTATTTATAACTATAAACTAAAAATAAATGTGAAAATACTCATTTTAAATGTACTTTTAAATATGAAATAATTGTTTTTTTTAACATCACTCAGCTAATCAGACCAGTCTATAAAGCTATCTATTTTTAAATAGAACTTTGGAAGCTATAAACTTCATCCATACAAGTACTCTTGTGCACACAAATGTGCAAGTCCAAGCAAATCAGTGTCCTGACCACAAACAGCATCACAAAATCAGCATTTTAACCACAGAGCTCTTAGACTCCCAACACACAGGTGACTATTATCTTACCAAAATACGTAATCATACAGATAACCTGGTTAGATGATCTACCATTATGTGAACAAAAGCAGTATTTGTGGTGACGCAGAGCGAGCGAAATTCCCCCCTCGACAATGTTCAAAACAAATCACTTCCTTTTCGGAGTTGAAACTTTTGTCTCACTATCAGAGTGACAACATCAAGATAATTGCCGAATACACTGAAGACAAAGCAAGAAGCCCGCAGACAATTTGCTTAGCGAAAGCTTCTGGGCAGGGACACACACCAGAGGCCCGAAAAACACAACCCTCCCTTAAGGCTACAGTTGCAGAACAATGCAGAAGCGCCTTTCTTCCTCCAAATGCATCCTGTCATATCAGGAAAGCCACAGGAATGGGGGGAAGGACCGAGGAAGTCAAAGGGAATTCCTCTAGTAAGTACGGGCTCTTTTGTAAAGCGCACTTCTAAAAGTTATTCGATGCAAAAGTCATTTGATACTTTCCAAACCTCCTGCTTTTTACCTTCAGACAAGACACTGTAATCGGAGTAATTCTGGCTGAGTGTGTTAAAGAAACAGCAACAATTTAGTGGGCAAAGGTGCAATAATTGAACATTAAAGACATATAATCTCCAGGTAAAGAGAAATACTTACAAAAAACATGGAGAGTGCTCTTCTTGTGTGAAGCTTCCTCTGCAAAAACAAACACACACAAAGACAAGTGAAGCTAAAACCCAAAGTCTTTTTATACACACTGTAAAGAAATATCTGCATTTTGAGTATTTTGTGATTCACAAGTGTTTATTTATGAGTGTGAATAGCAATATGGGACCCTGATCTCTGCTCTGCAGACTTTTGGTGTTTTATTGTGACTTAAGAAATAATACGTATAGACAGGGGCAGACTGGGACAAAAATTCAGCCCTGGCACTGTAGCCACACAAATTACCACACCGACACAGCCCCACCCACAGACACGCACATTCACTATTAATTTTGGTGTACAGATGATGAAATAATATGACATTCTTGCCAGATTTTGATTACGTTCAGGTAACCTCGGATTGGGTCGGCCCATCTTGAAACCAGGCGGCAATTGCCGATTGGGCCAAATGCTTAACATTAATTATTATTATTATTGTCATCAACATAATAGCATCTAGCAAGAGATAAAAGCTGTCTGCACTTAAAAACAATACATATTAAAAAAAAAAAAAAAAAAACTGACCGGCCCACATTTAAAAATTGGTCCGGCCCTTCTGGCATTTGCCAGAATTGCCAGATGGCCAGTCCGCCCCTGCGTATAGAGAAATAAGTTTGTAAAATAGCTGAAGATGTACTGGCAGTTTAACAAGGTTTTTGTATCATAATATACAACACCAACCCAGACAATAGATAACTTTAAACTATTAAAAATGTTAATAAAAGACAACTTTTCTAATATTACAAAGGTTGTTGGAAAAAAGATTAAGGTGCCATAATCTAATTTAAAAAGCATTAAAAAATGAGAAAAAAATAAACACATGAATCTCAAAATACGGAAAACTGCTAATTTACAGATATTTTTTACAGTGCATCTGTGTTAAGGATTGTGACCAGTGCATGTGATGTTAATTTCAGCACAGTATGCTTTTTGAACTACTACTACAATAAAGTATGTAGCATTTCAAATATCATGCCAATGCATAACTATCTTATGGTTTGCTAATTTAGTAGTTAATTCATATGAATTTGAACGGTTTTGTACATACACCTTCTTTCTAAAAATCATACAAATGTATAATTTATCTACTAATTTATCACAACAGTAAGTCATTTTGCTTTCCCATTTTTAACACATTGTTGTGTAAACACATTCTAAGAATATTTTAAAACACTAGTTGTGACATTAACTAGGACTATGCTTATTGCCTGATTTTTTTTTTCTAATTGTGCCTTTGACTGTTTTTGCACTTACTAGTTTCATCCACAAGATGTCAACACTAAATCAAGCCTTTGTTTCACAGCCAGTAAAGAATAGTGAACAACAGTGAACAAAAACTATGGTAAATTTTATTTATTTTATAATTTTTTTTTATTTAAAGAAACACAAACAACTCTAGTAGAGTTAAGCAATTGAGTTTTACCAGTGTTCCTTCATTTCCTTTTTTTCCCCACAGCTATAACATACTAGTAGCTCTTCTTTACTAGACAGTAGTCTATATTTATTAGATACTAGTACTTATTAAATGCTAGTATTTATTAACTGTGTTTATTCTATTAACATTCCATTAACTATTAGTTTTTTCTTAATTAACTCCTAATCGGCTGCCAATTAATTTAGGTATTGGGTTGGATTAAGGATGTACAATAAGATCATGCAGAACGTATACTTTATAAGTACAATTAAACAGCCAGTATCATAATAATAGGCAGATAACAAGTCACTAGTTCATATAATGAGAACACTAAAGTGTCAATTTTTTTATTATTATTAATATTATTATTATTCATTTTATTTTTGACTAAGTCCCTTTATAAATCTAGGGTTGCTCTGTATGTTTTACAGTGAAATTGATTATAAATAAACAAATAAATTATCCAGCTTTTGTTTTACACAATGAATGCCCTTCCAGCTGCAACCCATGACTTGGAAACACCCATTCACTCCCATTCACACAACGGAAAATTTAGCTTACCCAATTTACATATAGCACATGTCTTTGGACTTGTCAGGGAAACCAGAGCACCCGGAGGAAACCCACATGATCATGGGGAGAACATGCAAACTCCACACAGAAATGCCAACTGACCCAGCAAAGGCTCGCCAGAGACCATCTTGCTGTAAAGTGATCGTGCTTCCCACTGCGCCACTGTGACACCCTATTATTATTGTTATTTATTATTATAGTTCTAAGGTTTTTAATTGAACCTGTGTGCATTCTAAATAACTATTCAATAAAAATGTATATCACAAAAACTGTTGCCAGTGCCTAATGAATAACTACTAATATCTAATGAAAAACAATCATATTAAATGAATCAATATGTTATCTTACAAATGCTTACAGGTAATATTTAAAATGATACACTAGAATAGTCACTAGAAAAATGAAAACTTGACAGATCTAAACAGTTGATATCTGAAAGACAGATCCCAATAGAATTCAACAGCAAATGTATTAAAAGTGTCACTAGTACCATTCAAATTAAAGTAGTTACTAGTCCTTATTTAAATACTATTATCTAAAAACAACAACTTGTATCTAGAGAATGTTTAGGTAATAGTACCACAAGAGATAATACCTAAAGAATAGGCGCTAGCAGCTAATTGGAAATATACTAGCAGCTGAAAAATAAGCATGAAATTACATACTAATACATTATAAAAAAAATTACGTGACCGTTCACCAAAAAAAAATATTCTATGATCTTTTACTCATCAACCTGTTGGAGTCCCTTTCTTATGTTGAACACAAAAGAAGATAATTTGAAAAATGTTTGCCATTGACTTCCATAGTATGTATTTTTCCTGTTATGGGAATCAGTGTTATGTATGTCAATGGCTCCTGGTCACCAACTTTGCACGTAAGGGTGAGTAAATATTGAGTACATTTGTATTTGTGCATGAACTATCCTTTTAAATCTTAAACAGGCATGCCATAGTGTTTTAGTATGGCATCAAATTACTCAGGCTATGCTTTCAGGTGCATATAAAACAAAACACGCTTTCGGATAAAGTATCAAAGCTACAAACAAGCATGCATCCTATGCCCTGATCCACTAGAGGGCGTCAGTGTGTTGTACCAGAGTCTGATTGGCAGAGAGCATGGTTGAGTTGGTGTTGCTTTCCTCTCCTCTGATGGGCACGAGCGGCATGGTGCCAAACTTCTGCTTGGAGATGTCTGAGGATGAGTGACGCCTCATCACCGGCGGCCGCAGATCATCATTCTGAAGCAGAAAATATAATGTTCATTTGTAGCTTTGGACTATTACATAAACATTCACAATTGTTTAAGGTAAATTAGGCGGTACCTGTGCTTTTAGTAAATTGGTCATCCAGTCCCATAATTCAGTTTCACAGGAACAGCTGAGGTACCTGTGAGGTCAAATGATTTAGATCTTATAACAGACATTGCAGATAGATTTCAAATAAATACAGTGCATCAAGAACCAGAGAGTGAAAATCACTGACAGTAATTTAATACAGCTAGTTTCAGTCGAGGACAAAATTATTAGTTTAATATAATATAATATAATATAATATAATATAATATAATATAATATAATATAATATAATATAATATAATATAATATAATATAATATAATATAATATAATATAATTTTAAACATTACTTGGGAAAATATTTAAAAAACATTATAATTTCAGAGCTAAGGAAATAAAAAAGAATGAAAATGATGTATTTTTTAAATCAGACTGTTATTAGATAAATTTATAATATGATGTGTCACTCTGTGATTATCACTCACACGCTGCCTAACATTTCATGTTTAAAAAGAGGGTTTCATTCCTACCAATTATTGTAATACAGCTTAAAATTATTTGTTTTTATCTATACACATTATCATATGTGCATTAATGTATAAATAAAAGTTATGATGAATTATCATGTACATTATTTATGGATTTTGTTATTTTGTAAAATAATAAATTAATAAACCTTTAATATTACAAATTTTGTTAATCAAATAAAGCACATACAGTGTCAGACAGGATTAGTAAAGCAAGCGGCCACAGGCGTGGGAAAAATGGGTCTCATTTTTAATAGATAAATCTTAAAGGCTGTGTAATGCTAAATGAGATTAAAAATGCAGTTTATTGCTTTTTTTAAATGCACAGATTCAAGCAACTGATCAATGAGGGGAAAAAGTATATCAAATATCTATGTAGCGTGTTACAACTGCAATCACAGTTATTTATATTGATATAACCAATTGAATTGGTATACTACAAGGCATCATAAAACAAAACAGTCCTTAATATAAAATTCCTTTCAAAAAGAAAACAATTTAATTACTATTTATTCTCTCTCAAGCTCCAAACGTTTAAGAGTTTCTTTATTCTGGCGAAGACAAAAAAAAGATAGTTTGAAGAAAGCTGAAAACCTGTACTCATTGACTATCATAGTAAAAGAAGTCAATGGTTACAGGTTTCCAGCTTTCTTTAAAAGATTTTCTTTTGTGTTCAACAGAAGAAAGAAAATCAAATAGGTTTTGAAAAAGTAAAGAGAAAGTAAATGATGGCAGAAATTTCAGTTTTGAGTGAACCATTCCTTTAAGAAAGTATTGTTTCCTTTTGGATTCATTCTCTACCACAATTTCGAATGGGGTAACAGATTTAATTCTACAGTATAGCACATATACATATAACACTTACAATTGCTGTTTGTCCAACAGTACTGTTAATCCCCATCTGCAGGAAAGCACAGTCATTATTTACAACAAATACATTATATCAACTGACAAAAAAAGGAAGTGAAAACAGGCATCTTACTTAGTTGGAGGTTTGAGCTTCTTTCTGATCCCCATGTAAATCTTTAAGGTCTTCAGTTGCCATTCTTTCTCAGGCTTGTTGCTCTGTGAAATGGGAACAATGAAATGCTTTACAACTTTTGTTTTCACTTCAGACTGTCTGTTTTTTTCTACAGAAGCCTGTAATGTAGAACTCTATTATTATTGCTTATTAAAAGGACAACAATGGAAATCAGTTTTGTTTTTAATCCTTTATGGTGTAATCCATGACAAATTCAAGCTTATTCACTTATTTTTTCCTCAAATAAAAAGAGAAAGGAAAGAATACACACTTTTTTGTCCTTCATCAGGAGTAATTTGTGGTCTTTAATTTGGAAAGATCGCTCCTGGAATTTGTTTCCTTGTAAGAGTTTGGGCGGCTCTTCCCGACACTTCAGCACTCCAGACTTGACGATTTCACTCTTATAGGCTATGAAAGAAACAACCGGTCAAATCCAGCAACAACACAGAAAAAAAAAATATATATTTATTTAATGCAACAACAAATAGTTTTAGAGTTTTAGGTTTAGATGTTGTCTAGTAATGGCGGTTCAATCCAATGTGGCGACCCCGGATAAATAAGGGACTAAATAGCAATAAAAGTGATGAATGAACGTTGTCTAGCAATATTCCAAAATGACATTATTTTATTTACTTTTTGTTATTAAATAATTTTTTCTTTCTTTATTATTATTATTTTTATTTTTATTGTTGTTATTATTATTACTGGTTCAATCTCATTCAGTTTGAAGTCAGATTTCCTTGTCTTTTTTGAAAGGAAGAGCGAAAAAAACCTCTAAATTAAGGACATTTATTTCTTTTGAAGACTTTTCATTAATCAACAGTCCTAGCGTAAAATAATTTCCACAGATATATATTAAGCAGAACAACTGCTTTTAACATCGAAAAGAATAATTTCCTGAGTACTGTAAAAATTATGCCAAATTTCAGCTTTACCACAAGGATAAATTAATGTATATTAAATATATAAATAGTTTAAATATGATACATACAGTAATAAATATAATTAAATAGTAAATATAATAATTTTAAATATTATTCAAATACATAATCATGAAGCATTTTATCATCCTAAATTAGCGAAGAGACTATACAAAATATTTGAACTTGTATAAAACAAAGTAGTCATGATAAATGTAAAAACTTTGAGCCAAACTCATGAATGGCTTTAAACATTTTTTATCTTCATGATAACATGATCAAATGACAGACACTTTTTTCTGGAAAGAAATCAGCTGAAATGAAAGTGCTTTCACCTGTGAAAATGTCTATAGCTTCTCCTCTGGGCACTTTCTTGACCACCAGATATGCTGAACTGGGATCAGCCATTTTACACCATTGTAAGGCTTGTTCCAGAACCTTCTCTTTGGGGTGAAGAGGTCGTTCTGCACAAATGACAATAATTAACACAGAGCTTTAAAAAAAAAACCTGTTGACTGTAAAGTGAGATTTAGTCATTCAGAAGTGACTGCTTAAACGAATGTGTATTTGGTTTTTACCGAGCTCTCCATCCTCAATGGCCTCAAAGGTCATCCACACATCCTTCTCTCCTGCGGGGATGTTCCTCATATACAGCACCTGATTGGTCAGTTCCTCCGCACACATAGTGGGAGACACCTGTGGGGGAAAATAATGAAAATAAATTCACACAAGTGGTATGCAATAATGGTTTGAATCTACCACCATGTGCTTATATTGTGGAGTAGCAACTCAAGTCACATACAGTTATAAAGCAGACTACTTAAATGTTTTATTAGGTTCTTTCCACAATAAAATGTTTTATATGTTAGCTTTGATGCCATCTATGTGCTGGTGTGCCTTGTCAGACTTTATTATTCTATCTATGAGGTTGTCAGATATTATTTTACATACATATATATATATATATATATATATATATATATATATATATATCTATCTATCTATCTATCTATCTATCTATCTATCTATCTATCTATCTATATATATATATATATATATATATATATATATATATATATATATATATATATATATATATATATATAACATTTTTAAAAGAACAGGCTTTTTTACAGGTTTAATTGCCTACTTTCAGAGTGATGCAGCAATCTGGTATCTTTTCTTCAAGATAAACTTCAATGATCAGGTCTCCAGCCTGTGAGAGCTGGAAAAACAACAACAAGAGGAAAAAATAATTAATTATTTGAACATAATTAACACTCTCCAAGACAAACATTAGGTTTAAGACAGTTATCAAAAGATGAATGGAATCCTTTACATTTATGCAAAAAATAAAGCCAAATATTAATCTAATATTGTTGTTTAATGAATAATCACAACTTTTTTATTAACTTTATATACATATTTACTGTATATATTTATGTATATATAAATGCACACAGATATGTATGTGCTTTTAAAAAATCTTGACACATTTCCATGTCCATTGTATATAAAACTGTATGTTATAGATAGTTTATATATAAATATAAATACATATCTTTTATACATTTATTCATTTAAAAATGGATGTATGTATTTAGATCAACATAATAAAAAATGTTGCAATATAAACAAAATTATCAAGTAAACAAACTTTTATTTTGCTTTTTATTATTTTATAATTTTTTTTATCATTAAACAGCACTAAATATTTGTTTATTTTTTCAGTAAACTACAAATGAGATTCGACAACAAAAAAAGTAATTTTTGCATTAAATAATAAATAGTAAAATAAGTATGTTATTTTATAATAAATCATAAAAAATATATGTCTTATTTTATACATATTTATATGATAAATGTTTTGATGTTTCTATATCTTTCTATATTTGGTGGAATAACCTTGATATTTTAAATCACAACAGATCAAAACATTGTCATTTTCTAAAAAAATGCTATTAATGATTTTCCAAAAGGAATAATGCTAAATAAATATAATCAATATTATAAAGACATACTGTACCTGTGTGTCTCTCCATGTGGTTATCAAACTGATTTCCAAATCAATCTGCGTTTGATGTTCTTCATCAACCTGAGCAAACACAAAACAATCAAAAACAATTACTAGCAAAAATGTTTCAAAAATTCACAGATATTAATCAAAACATACAATTTCAAAAGTATTTTTGTACCACTTACTGGCACAATATTCTGTGAATAGATTCTTAAACATATGCTATAACATCATACAACTTTGAAGTTATCCACTTACATCAAATATATAGAGATAGTTATCAATGAGGTCTTCTATGATTTTGACCTCATGTTCCCCTTTGCCATCAGTCTGAAACAGGCTGGGTGCAAAAAGCAGGGACAGGTTTTTAGTGCACATCTGATTCAGATCCGCACACTTCTGAACCCTATGGAAAGAAAAGGAGTGTTGAAGGAGCTATTATTCACAAAAAACCGACGCGAGGACAATAAAGTTACTCACCGGTACAAATGACTGATGAGCGCTGCTAAAGTGGTTCTGTTGACCCGTGGTAAACCTCGAATCAGCTCTTTATATCGATCCAAGCGCTGTGTCTTCAGAGGGATCTCTGCGTAAAGCACAAGAAATCACTGAGACAATCTGACAATTCTGTGTTTGTTGTCATTCATTTGAATATTTGGGCTTGTTTTCAACATCACAACTGTGGCTATGAAATACATTTTTGTTTTACTTGTGTAAATAAAAATGCAAATACATTGTCAATTTGCATAATTGATGCTGAAATGTAATTATGTATTATTAAAAATGGAAATTATAAAAACAACAACAAACAGAATGAATCATGATGTCTGTATATAATCATATTTCTGTATATATTAAGCAACATAGTTGCTAACAACTCTTTACTGAAATTAAACATTTCAAATTGGAAATGTTTCTTATAGGAAATGTTTCAGGTTATAAATGTATATTGACAGTTATAATATTATAGCTTCTGAAGAATTATGTGACTTTAAATACTGCAATATTGATGCTAAAAAAGCATGCACACTGGCATGCACGCGCACACACACACAAAAGGCTGTTTAATAGTATAGTAAAATTATTTCACCATATAACTGTTTTGCTGTATTTCTGATAAATAAATACTAGTTAAATATACAGTATATATTAGTATAATTATATACTAATAAAAAAATGTATACTAATAAAAAAAACATTTTAAAAAACATATTGCAAATTATAATAAAATGACAATACCGTTTGCTATCATAAGCAGGCTTCAAATAAATTTAAAGGGGTAGTTCACAAATGAAAATTGGATCCAAGCCTTAATGAGTTTCTTTTTTCTGTTTAACACTAAAGAAGACATTTTGAAGAAAGCTGAAAACCTGTAACCACTGACTTCCATAGAAAAAAAAAATTCAATATTTTTTTCAACTTTCTTAAAAATATATTTTTATATATTTTAAACACTTATATGTTATACAAATATATATTAAACACTTTTGTGTTTAACAGAAGAAATAAAGTCAACAAGTAAATGAAGACTAAATAAAGACAAAGCCTTTCGTTTTGGGTGAACTCCCCCTGTAGCAGACATAATGTTAAAAACAACCCATAATATTTAAATTTTTTTAACATTCAATTGAATACTGTACTCACTGGCAGCTTCTTTCCAGAAGGGGTGGAGGTCAGCCATGAATATAGGGTCATCAATTTCCCGAAAGAACCTTTTCAGAACATCCGTCACGTCCTCAATGAAGTTATCCCCAATACGGAGCTTTACGTTGCGGGCGTCCTTACGAAACTCTTCCATCAAAAGCTTGATTCTGGACTTGGCACCATTTTTTCTGTAAATACCCTCATGACCCAGACCTGTGGCAGAGTTTGAAATCAGCTAATTTTTCATGTACATCTAATAGAAGATTTAGGCAAACAAGAATCTAAAAAAATCAGAAGGAAATGAATCAGTCTCTCTTCTCACCATATTGGGTTATGAAAGCAATGCAACTGTCTACTATGATGGGAATGTCATTTCTGCTGAGCTGCTGATCTTTCAGGGTGTTTCCTTTCCCCCCTGCAGCCTTCTGGATGTCCGCGTACCAGAGGGAGAAATCAGTCCTGCCAGTGCCCTGCAGATGAAGAGTCCTGCAGACAGACATTCAGTTATGATGAAAAATTAGAGCAACTTCTCCTTTGTTTGGAATAGAATCAGAAATATGTATTAAAGTGCCTCTATTATGGTCTTTTAAAGGTTTCTTATTTTGTTTTAAAATCTTCAATAATAGGTTTATAAAATAAAACTGAGTATGATTTTTAAAATTCCAATAAGAAAATAATGTGCATAAATTATGATGGCAACACACTTACAGAATAAATTCCAGCACAACAACAAAAGGTGCGATAGGAGATAGGGATTGCATATATAAAATGTTATTTTGATCATTATAAAATTCCTTAACCAAACTGAACTCCCAAAGAGGAGTCTTGCACTCCCAATAGCCGTTATGACTGTTTAATGAGTTTTGTCTTCGTCTACTGGGGCACATGTAATTAATTATATAAGAAAAAGGGTCTAAATCTGCAGCAAATTCCATTTCCTATTTGATATTTGGCACCAGTTAATCAGAAAGTGACAATTTTGTTCTCTTTGACTCTATGGAAGGAAACGGTGCTTTATTTGCGAATGTTTTATGCAGAGTTCCAGTTTTGTGCATAAATCTAAATCACATCTTTGGATGAAAACCTGAGTGTGATTAAAAAGTGTGAATATATGACTCAATAACACTCTTGAATCAAAACAAAAGACTCTGTTGCTATTCATGTCTGGTGCAATGAAAATATTTTTTTTCATTCCTATGCTATCCTATGCTTATTCATAATCTACAGGTGTCAAAATTGTCAAGGGTTAAAGGTTGCTGGAGGGCCACAACTCTGCACTCCATGCTTGATTGAAAACTATAGGTACGTGTTGAAGCAGATTTGGATCTACACTTGGGAGAGATGTGGTCCTCCAGGACCCCTGCCCTAATCCCTTCGATGCCATCACTTCGGAAGGTAAACCCATCAAAGGGATTAGGGCATGGGGATGAGCCCTACCAAATGGAATGTGGTGCAAGTGTTTGTTAAGTTTGCTATCTGAGAAGAGAACTTTCCGATAAAAGGTCACAGCGACCACAAAACCATCAACAAAAGCAAAAGTTATGTGGCAAAGAATTGCAGATAAAATTGGACTCACTCATAATATTGGTACATTGTTTTTTCTTTATATACAGTTGTTTATTTTGTATTATGGTTTGTAATTTGTAGTAAAAGCAGAGAAAAAACTGACAAGGTACTGTACATACATAAGGGGAAAAAAATAAAATAAATAAGGAGGATTTTCGTAGGATACTAAGCAGGCTGCCAAAAAACGCATTGTTGTAGTCAAAGGCACTTTGCATATACAGACATGAACTGGCTACCAATAGCTAGCAGTTTTCAACATATGTCATATGTTTTCCAACAAATATCACATTTTATTGTGTGTTTTACAGAAGAAAACCCAAACACTTTCTGAACAAGTGGAGGGTGTGTGAACCATCTATTTGAAATCTCTTACATTCACAAACAGCTCATTACACAGCACATAATAAGTAATATAAAAAAATCACTTTAAGGGACATTTTAAAAAGGGTTTTAATTTGTACTAGAGGTCTGCATTGCACCAGATTTCTTGTGACATGGGAATACATTTCCGAATAAAATTCGGTAGCGGTCGGTAACTGGTGTAATTTGAATGAGAGCAGGCAGTCTAACAATATAGGGCTCCCAAATCCCAACATGATTTAAAAACAGCTTATCTGTGATTTCCTCATTCTTATTAAGCACCGGTACAGCCTGTTCTCATGACTGTAACCCATGATAAACGCATCACCAGTGCTTTCTGCACATGCTTTTATTCCGCATAGTCTGTGCACGCATCATCTGCATTTCGCCCCAATTTTATCCTCCTTACACTGGCTGCCTGTTAAGTTTTGTATTGATTTTAAAATATTGCTTCTTAACTATAAAGCTTTAAATAATCTAGCTCCTGTTTATCTAACCAACCTTCTGTCTTGCTACAATCCAACCCGCTGTTTAGGATCTCAAAACTTAGGGCCTCAGGTAGTACCTAGAATAGCAAAGTCGAGTAAAGGAGGTCGAGCCTTTTCATTTATGGCTCCTAAACTCTGGAATAGCCTTCCTGATAATGTCCGAGGCTCAGACACACTCTCGCAGTTCAAAACTAGATTAAAGACCTATCTGTTTAGCAAAGCATAAACTCAGTGCATCACTTAGCGGTATATACATGAATGTGCTCCACACAGGTTTTTGCATCTCATTTATATACACTATAAACAGTGGCTAAGCTAATTGTTCTCTTTATTCTCCATTTCCACCTGGGGAGACTCTTCCCGAGGCCCTTAGACTATGCAGTGCCACTGATTCGATCTAAGACAAGCAACGAGATGATCCTTATGTGACCATATTCTTGGACCAGGCCGTATACTGAGCAGCTACTGTGGTGGTCACGGAGGAGTGAACAGCATGAGACTGATTCCTGTAATGCTCCAGGGACAGACAAGTCTTCACTGAGGTCCAGCATTCTCCAACCTCTGGTGCCTTGACTGTAGCTCTGCACAAGACGTTTGGCCAGGGGACAAATGGTCGTGCCCAACTAAGCCTGGTTTCTCTCGAGGTTCTTTTTCTTCACTTTTGCCAATTGGTGAAGTTTTTTCCTTGCCGCTGTCGCCACTGGCTTGCATGATTCGGGATCTGTAGAGCTGCGCATCGATGGATTTGCTCTTCAGTGTTTGGACTCTCAGTAGTGAATATTAAACCACACGGAACTGAGCTAAACTGAAATGAAATTAAACTCTAAAAACTTAACTGACACTGTTTCAATTTACTATGATATTTTATGTAAAGCTGCTTTGACACAATCTACATTGTAAAAGCTCTATACAAATAAAGGTGAACTGAACTGAACTGAATAACGGTCCTCAGAGCAGGCATTACCAACATGGGAGAGCAAAGTGAAGATGCGCTGTCCTTCAGCTTGCATTAGAAAATGGTCAGTTTACTGTTAGGAAACCCACATAAGGGATGTCTGATGTATGGGAGTCTTTTTCATGTGTCATAGACACAAATAAAAAATTGACCCTTAGGCCCCGTTTACACTAGTGCGTATTAGTTTTAAAACGGCGTTTTAGAATGAAAACGATCCGCGTCCACACTCGCGTTTTACCCAGCGTTTCTGAACTGCTCTCCGTCCACACCAAAACGCTGAAAACGCACATCACGTGACCACACACACACACTTTGGCAATCGCTGGAGCCTGTCTACCCAGATGAGAGCTCTGCTAGTCGGACTTCTCATCAAGCATCTCCCGCTGGATCTAATCTCACTATATTTATTAAACGGGATATTTCATTCATCTTGTTGTCTTTATCTAACGACATATTCCCTGACTTTGGTCACTGGAATCTATTACTTGTTCTCAGGTAACGTGTTTTGGCTGAGCGCAAAGATAAGTTAATGATTAATGTAAGCACGTACATTCTGTATATTGACTGATCGCTAGCCTTTATTTCCTATAATGTATAAACTTATTGTATGTTATACTTTTATAATGGCCATTATCGATTATTAAAACTTCAGCAAAAGAGAGGGTGTGTTTCGTATTTTCACTGAAATTGAAAGGAGGCAGTTGTTATCGGCTCCGTTTTGTTATAAATATGCAGACAGTGAAGATGACGCTCATGCAGCACGACGCCTCAACATTTCTGCTGTCTGTTTAGTTGTTAATATTAAAATAAAAATAGGCAGTTCCTTATATCAAGTTTACATTTTATTGTTGAGAAAGTGAAACAACGTAGCCAAGGTGATGTGAATGAAGTTATAAAGTACACTGTTCCCTGTGAAGATTGACGCATGTCCTCGGTATGTTTTCCATATCAAACTGAGAAGAAGAGATGCAGCCTTGATCAAACTTGCGAAGTCTGAACTTACACGGAGAAGATTCAGGACTGAACTGTGTGTTAGGCTACTTAATATTGAGGAAAAGCCCCAATCAGAGAGGCGAATGTCTGCAGCCCCGCCTCCGTTTTCAGATGTCTCCGTCTTTCCCCATCCACACTGAGACGGAGCTGCAGCGTTTTAGAATGAAAACGGCCTCTCCAGCGTTTTCGAAACGCTCCGTTTTCGGCGCTCGAGAACTCCGGCGTAGTGTGGACGGATGGCGTAACCGTAGCAAAACTTATGCGTTTTCAAACTAAAACGCATTAGTGTAAACGGGGCCTTAGCGTGATGTGATAATACCTTAAACTTTTGCCCTTTAGGAGGCAAAGGACTGGAACCTTTAAGGTGGCACTCCCCCCCCTGCACAACCCATAGTTTAATCTGTCATCTCTCTCTCTTGGTAGTACTCAATTTTAACATGAGATTTTGGAAACCAGATCTAAATTTAGCAAGAACAGTCAGATTGGGTAGAAAATGGGGCAGTTTGGGCAGCGAGTGAACAAAGGCTGCATATACGGTGGGATCGGTTAGGTATGGAATAAAACCTTGCTGGAGCGGGATTAAAAAATTTGTCCCCTGCAGACCTCTATGTTGTACTGTTCTCTAAAATTTACTAATAATGTTATCAAGATTTTTACATCAAAAAACAAATTAGGAAGTAATTGACTATATTCTGAGCTGTTTTTGACTCCCATATTAGAACAGTTTGAATGGGCGCGGCCAAGTGTAGACTCCTTAGTAAATGCCAACTGCTCTGATTGGCTTGCAGTTTTGCATATTAACACGACTAAACAGGCAGTGAAAAAGAAGTAGGCACGGATCTTCTCCAGAGGTGGAGTTTTTCCACCCTGTTACATCAACATTCCAGAACCTGTGGTTTTGTCAGACTGGCTTCAATACACGTTGATTTTAGAATAACCACAATGTATTGAGTTTCGAAACTTACAGGACACATTTTTATAGTGCTATGAGCTAATATATATACATTTTTAAAAATGAAGAGAATTTAGTTTTTTTTAGTTCATGACCCCTTAAAATTGTGCAAGTCAAAGACCTACCTTCCTTTCTCAACAAGAACCAGAATGTCCTTCTTCTCATGGTTCTCCATTTCCGATGCAATACCTTCATTTTTAACCCAAGGAATAGACAAAAAAGCACATATTTCTTTTATTAATCCCCAAGGGTAAATTAATCAGCATGTTTTTCTCTGAAACACCATATCAGTGTCACAGTGATTGAACAAACAGACTCACTGAGCTCCTGTAGGCGTTTCAGGTTTATAATATCCTCGGCGGCTCCATCATTTCCAGGGCATATGAACAGGTTGGACTTCTGGAGAACAAAGAAGCCTTCTTTCCACTGCTGTGGGTCTAACATGGCCTTGTATCTCAGCACACCCACCCGCTCGAACTCTCTCGCCAGCAGGCAGTGACAGCTGAGAGGAGTAGTGGCCTGCCAGAGATTAAAACCGAGGTGAAATCTAATGCACCAATGCGACTGTTTCCTTTGCATATAAAACACAGCTAGTTCTGATTCATATTTACCTTCCCTATTGCTCTCGCCCAACTGTGCAAAGCATCTGGAGTCTCCAAGCCAAACTGGACCAGTTTATCAGACATTAGGTAAAGTTCAAAAGTGTAGCGAAATCTGAGAAAAACATCAAGAGTAAGATTATTAAGAGTTTTTTTAATGTTTAAATGTCCTGAGGGATGTTGGTTAGCAGTGGCTCTCACTTGTCAATAAAGCCGCTGTTGTTGCTGGAGTCTGGCCTGCTGACTCCTAAACAGATGATGTCTTTAACATCGATCTTCATACTGGGCTCATGACATCTGTCAGACTCATAAAAGAGAATAGACTTCTCCACCGAACACCAATATTTTTGGAAATCTGCTGAAAGAGTAATAAAACAATCAAACAACAAAAACTGAAACATCTGAATGTGTATTAGTATTTGTACTCAGTCATTTTATGAATGCTTCACATCAAATTATGGTATTAAGAATAAGAGTAATGCTGTTTAAAACCAAGTTGCAATCAAGTGCCCATCTGAATATTTTTAAAGTGTTAAAAAAAATCCAGTAAAATTGATAATACTTAAATTATTATTATAAAAAACATATAAAAAATAAAATTATATATATATATATATATTATACATTTCTAAACATGATACACATTTCTAAACATGATAGTTTTAATAACTCATTTCTAATAACTGATTTATTTTATCTTCGTCATGATGACAGTAAATAATATTTTACTGGATATTTTTTTAAGACACTACTATACAGCTTAAAGTCACATTTAAATGCTTAAAATAAAAACAAAACAAAATAAAACAAATAAGACTTTCTCCAGAAGAAAAAAATATTATCAGACATACTGTGAAAATTTCCTTGCTCTGTTAAACATCATTTGGGAAATACTTAAAAAAGTAAAAAAAAAAAAAAAAAACTATTTAAAGGGGGCTAATAATTCTGACTTCAATTATAATATATTAATATATATATATATATATAACATCTTTGTAGATTCTTTGAAAAAAGTATAGAAATTATTTGTAAAATTGTGAATCGTTGAGACTTTTTCGATGATTTTAATGCATTTTTGCACTGGTATATATGTTTTAAATCTCACCAATTCCAAACTTTAAAATACTTTAAAATAAAGTAAATAAATATTGAAGAGCACTTTAAAAATACCAAATTCATTACATTTTCAAACAGATTAATGAATTTGAAACATTATGACAGATTTATTTGTAAGAGATGCATTTTATTTCTGAATTTTTGCCAGCACTTGTTTTTGCTATATAGTCTCCTACCGTCTCTGGTCCTGCGTGATAATGTCCCTTTGTTCAAAGAGCCTGACTTGTAGAGGAAGCCGGAGTACAGGATGGGCTGCATGATCTCATCATACACGCAGGAATCTGAAAAAATGTCGCTCATATTACACTTGAACAGATTAAACAAGACATTTTTATATAATATAAAAAGTTAAATAAACTATAAATTATATCAAAGGTGAATTAAATTTACTGATGTTAATTTTTTATTGTAGTAAATGCAGGAAAGCATAGCAAATATACAGTACTCAAAAATTTGGCTACAGGAAGATTTGTTCATTTTTTCGTTTTAAAAGTTGCTCACCAATAGTACATTACATATTCAATTAATTATAGCTTAAAGTGAACTTTCCTATGTGAAAGCTTCAAAATGCAATTTATTGATGTGATTAAAGATGAACATTTTATACATCATGTTTTAGTGTCGTGTGACACTTGAAGTTATTATTGGTTCTTATGATAAATGCTGAAAACATAATCAATTTCTTCTGCTTTATTTTGTTGAAAAAAAATAATTTAAAAAAATTACTTTCAGGATTTGGTAGAGATATAAATTTCACATTAACAACATATGTTTAACATACATTTTTGTGTCATTATAAATGTCTTGAATCAATTCTTTTGATCAATTTAATGTGTGCTTGATGAATAAAGTTTTTCTTTTTAAAGTTCTCCTTTTTCAGAACAACCGTTTTAAACCTAATTATAATTAAATGCATACACGCACGCACACACACACACGCACACGCACGCACACACACACGCACACACACGCGCACACACACACGCGCACACACGCGCACACGCACGCAAACGCACGCACAACAAAATATTCCAAAAAATTCTTTTAATATTAATCACGCTAAAACGTACAGTAGCTAATCAAAATAAACTGACATTATGCTAACCAAAAATCATTACTTTCTTTTCTAGCAACAACAGATAATAATAAAATGAATAATAACAAAGACATTAAAATTAAATATAAATTTACAATAAAATGAGTAGAAAACAAATTAAGTACACCCCTCTCAAATCCCTTTTAAATTCATATTTTAAATAGGGAGCTATACAATATAGTATTGTGCACATACCTTAGATTAGTCAGTACTGAAGCCAAATCTGGAGCTTATCTAACAAAATTACTTACGATAACGGTCCAAAAAGTAGAACACACAAATTTATATGTTATAGAAAAATATGAAATACAAATTTAAAAGAGTAAAAATCAAGAGAAGCAAAAAAAAAATTTTTAAATGTTGTTGAATTTTTTTGTGGTAATTGTTTTTGCCATTTTTTCTTGAGTTTAATTGTAATATCTTTCAATTTCTAAATATGTTTGGTGACTAAAATATTATACAGATAAATTTTCATTTTCAAAATGGGGTGTACTCAATTATATACAGTTGAAGTCAGAACTATTAGCCCCCTTGAATTATTAGCCTCCCTGTTTCAGTTTTTCCTCAATTTCTGTTTAACAGAGAGAGGATTTTTCAACACATTTCTAAACATAATAGTTTTAATAACTCATCTCTAATAACTGATTTATTTTATCTTTGTCACTTCTATACAGCTTAAAGTGACATTTAAAGGCTTAACTAGGTTAATTAGGTTAACTAGGCAGGTTAGGGTTATTAGGCAAGTTTTTGTTTAGTGATGGTTTGTTCTGTAGACTATCTGAAATATATAGCTTAAAGGGGCTAATAACCCAGGGATGGGTTGCAGTTGGAAGGGCATCAGCTTTGTAAAACGTGCTGGATAAGTTGGCGGTTCATTCCGCTGTGGCAACCCCGGATTATTAAAGGGACTGAGCCAAAAAGAAAAGCGAATGAATGAAGGGGCTAATAATTTTGTCCTTAAAATGGTGTTTAAAAAATTAAAAACTGCTTTTATTCTAGCCGAAATAAAACAAATAAGACTTTCTTTAAAAGAAAAATTATTACTAGACATACAGTGAAAGTTTTCTTGCCCTGTTAAACATCATTTGGGAAATATTTAGAATAAAAAAAAAATTCAAAGGGGGCTAATAATTCTGACTGGTATATATAAAATCTATCTGACCAAATTAAACCAACACCATGTCAGCCAGGTGAAGAATTAAACCTAATGGTACTTTTTGTTGCTGATTAACAGACAAACTTCTCCATTAAGCAGAAGTGAAGTTCTGCTCTCTTCTCATACCTGCAGACTGTGTGTATGAGTAATGCGGCGACACACGCTTATCGTTTCCATTAGCGTCAGCAAGTCTCGCGGCCTCTGCCTCTGCAAAAATCTGAGTGACTGTTTTCAGCAGGTTCTGCTCGGTCACGGCGGTGCACAGCGCCTACAGGAACCAAACATACACACACTTAAACCAATGCAGCGCTAATGGACCATTCAGCCAAAGGACATTCAAAGCTCTATCAAAATAAAAGCCTTTTATTAGCTTTCTCAATTATTCACAATTCACAGCACTGCTGTCGGCTAATTCCAGGGGTGCAGGAGGTAGACTGGATGCACAAATGATAGTCTTGGTGAAGAATAATACACACTAATCTTGGCTTGACCGCCGGCATAATACTTAGATGGCTCTGGCTATATTAAGCTGGGCTGTCCTGTTAGTGCCGACTGTTCTAAAAGTTTTCTTTTGAAGCAAACCTATTATATGTGAAACGGCATCTGCTTCTGATGTAGGGAAGTGTTGTGGGTATTTCAAAATGAAGTGTCGGTTGCAGAAGAGGTAGAGGAAACGCAGTTATTGTGCAAAAGTATTAAGATTATGAGGCCCTGAAGACTTCGGAAAAAGCATTAGTCAAAACATTGCTCGGTGTTATCTGCATATAAAGGTCTGTGTAGATCAGCACAGAGACTTCAAACACTGCTAACTGTTAGAAAGAAAACAGGCTTGTCTACACTTTCTTTTTCGCCATCTAGTTATATTGTTCATTACTGGGATAATTGTTTTTTTACAATAGAAATTGTAATGACTTTAGATTTTAATTCAGTAATGATACTATACTGTATTAGTTTTGAATTTTACACCTGTTATTTATCTTTTTTACAACAACAAATCTATTAATAGTAGCCATTGCAGTATTTGAAATAGAAGCATCAAATTTAGCATCATTGTATTTTATTTATAGTATTTAAAAATTAAATAATTGTTATTACTATTATTGTAATTTTATTAGTAGGAGTACAAGATTTATTTTATTTAATATAACAAATTTTAATAATTATATATACAATTTTATTTTATTTACTGTGCACTTACAAATACTAGTAAAAATAATAATAATAATATTAACAATAATAATAATAATAATGATAATAATAATGATAATAACAATAATAATGATAATAAGAATGATAATAAGAACAACAATATAATTATAATAATCATAATAATATTAACAATAATAATAATAATAATAATAATAATAATAATGTCATTCTGCATTACGGTCATTTATTAGTAGTATTGAAATAATTATTATTATCTACATTCGTTTTATTGTGCATTTTAAAAAAGTTAAGAATTTTATTCAAATTTGATAAGATTTCTTATTAGTATTAGTAGTATTTTTTGCAGTAGCTCTTAAATTTTAAATAATGTTACAATAAGTTTAAGAAAGATTAAAGTTTTTGAAAATGACCTTGTTTTCAATAATTGGTATTTTACTAAACTCGTAGCATAATTTAATTTATTGCATTTTAAATGATCATTATACTAAATTATATACAATATTAAATACTATTATTATGTATAGATCTGGCATAAAAACATTATTTCAGGCCTCAAAGGTGCGCCTATTTCACTCACATTTGCAACAAAAAACTGTGTGGGAAGTGGAAAATGTATTTAGTCGCACTTGCAATTTGTTTTTAATAAGCTTTACTGATGACTTAATTCACTTGGTCAAGATAAAACAACATGTTCTTCCCACTAAGTTATGGTGTATTACGTTAGAAATCTATTGTGAATGTAGCACACATGGACGCTATTAACAACAGTACATCTCTTATATTGTGTTACTTTATTTATTTCATTGTTTGTTTATCATTAATTTACTATGGCTATAAATTATTTTCAGATAATATAAGCCTGTAACTACAACCACTATTACACTTTATTTTTTAAATATTTATTTAAAGTAAGTTCAAAATTAAGCCCGTTGAAGTAAAACCCAATGTTTCAGCAGCAATACTCAACACTTTTGATTTTCATGCCATGATCTATAAAACCCCCTTTCTCCTTTACCTTCAGCAGTTCCTCCTGGCTGCTAAAGCTAGGATGGGGGTGTCTGTATCGGCCCTCTTTGTACTTGTGGCTTATAAACTCTCTCCGCTGCTCTGGAGTAGCATCACAGTCCAGCTCTTCAGACACAGGAAGCCTGGCAGCCCAGAATTCATTGGCTCTATCATTGCCAAGCATTATGAAGAGCTACAACACATAAACATAAGCATTACTATGCAACACGTAACACTAAAATGCCCGAAATGCAGCTGTAAACACAAACCCTAACCTGAACGATCTCATTGCTCCACACGCTGGTGTCCAGTTTCAGACTCTGCACTTTAGACACCATTGTGCCCAGACCTCGATGTTGGCCTGCGGGCGGACAGAACAAAAGAGGCAGCACATCACTCTCCACACACCATTCATTCACTGTGTTTGGCCTACAAAGACTTCCTGATATGGTGCCTCTGAGCCACTTTTATCTGCATGGAGGACCTCGTGTGAACTCTCAAATGAGCTTACAAACTCTTAGCACCATCTGGATCAACCGAGACGCTACCATTGCTGCTTAGTCACTGTTTGAGAATGCAAACCGTCCCACACTAAGTCAGACTTTATAACTGTGAAATTTAATGGAGTAATGGAGTAAACAATTAATTAAATATATAAAGGTCATCATCTTACTTCTTCAGTGGATGGATTGCATTGAGAATTTCAAACATTTTTCTAAAATGTTAACAACAAATATGCAAATGAGGAATTATTTGATGAAATGTGTAATCATTTGCATATTTTTTTAGGACAAAAACAATCTAAACATTTGATGAGATCAGGTTTTTGACATATATTGCAGTCAAAAAATGTTACATAGAAAATACTGGAGAGAAAAAACTATTTGTAGAATAAAATGTTTGTATGTAATCTGCAAAATTATGTATGAATTGTTTAGAAAAACCTTCAGAATATAGATATATAATATATTTGATGTATTTAAATGCTGCAGAAGTGGAGATTTATCCCTTAACTAATTGTAAAAAAACAGCCTTTGTGTTTACAGTGTTTACTTTGCATTAGAGTGAGGAGTTACTGCATGAAAAGCCAAAAGGCCAAAACGTTTTTGTCTGCAATGTCTCAGCTGAAATTCTAAATGCCATCAAGCTGTTAAAACAGTCTGTTAAGCTGCCACACACACACACTCACACACAGACCTGCGCAGTTTTTACAGATGACCACACAGAGGTTGATTGATGCCCAGTCTGGATTGATGGCTTTGCAGTCTGCGCAGATCTTGTTGGACCTGTTGGACCAGATCTTCTCGGCCACCTCGTAGTCAGAGAGTGTTTCGGCTATAGATTCCTGCAGGGCCTCCATCCAGTCCCGCTTCTCACGATCCGTCTCTGCCGTAAAGCTGCAATGGTGCACACGACACTCTTAATACTCTACCTGCATAGATCTTATTAAATAGCTCTAGTCTATGGAAATAAACCACAGTGTGTCTTCTGTGTGTGTGTTTGTTTCATAGAATATACAATTAAATGGACTTTTTATGTTTATTTATTGTTTACAGATCTTAAAATTTCAAATAGTACTGAATATTTTTTTATAAACAAATAATATTTTAAAGTAATGTTGTAATAATTTTTTATGTAATGTAATTTAGCATAATTTTTAGATAATATAACATTCTTTATTTATTATAACAGCATAACAATGTAATTTAATATATATAATATGATATAGTCACTTTGGAATTATAAGGTTCTATTTGCGTTCTAAAAGATTATGATATAGTGAGCTTTAAAGTTTTTGCATTCCATATAGCAAACAATATGCTACAATGCAACAATACTTATCAAGAAATACAATCAGCTAAATAATCGGCTAAATAATTTAATTAGAAATATATAAATTGGTGTTGTAACAACATGTTGATGCTTGAGAAAGTACTTTTTTTGCTTTCTGTAATATTTATATAATGTTTTAGGATGGATTTTTTTTTTAATTAAGCATACAAGGCTGTGATAAATATCTTTTTCCAGTGCAGATGTTAATTTTATGTAATTAATATGGTGCTATTTATTGAATTTTATGCTTTATATGAACTATTTAACTTTACTTATTGAATGAAATGTCCCATGAATTAAATTAAGTATTTGCCCTCCAAGGCTTAATATAAAATGTAAAAACTCTAAAAGAAAACAGACAATGAGCAAATGAGTTTAATAAACACTGAAAAATGTTTCACTGACTATATAAACACAAATAAAAATATTTCACATTTAATATATTACATGTTTTAAATAACTGTTGCTTTTTCAACAATAAATAGTTTAACATTTCATCTCATTGTCAAAAAATGCTGATTGGCTCACAGAAAGAAGGTTTCAACCTTTTATATTAAACCTTTTTTGTTTTTTAAATAAAAAGTCTTAAAATTAAATAAAACTTATGAAAAAAAGTCTTAAAATGAAATACAACTTAGAAAAAACATCACATGATGTAAATAAATGATGTCTTATTAAATTATAAGAATATGTGAATAACTCAATTTTAACAAAAATGTTACAACCTTAAAATTCTATAGTGACTATAATATAATATAATATAATATAATATAATATAATATAATATAATATAATATAATATAATATAATATAAATTTATTAAAAAGTACAAAAAAAAAATCTACATTTCACCCATTAAAAACATCTACACAACTGATCAAAATTGCACATGATAATAATTTGTATTAATGCCTTAACCGTTTTTAAATTATGGATGTAATAAATAAAAATAGCGTTATTAAATACACTACAAACATCAATATTACAGATTAAACAATGCTTTTGCTCTGTTGTAAATGGCTTAAGAGGTTAAACATGTACAATCTTCTTAACAAAAGCATAGCGTGACTTCAGCCGTTTACCTGAAGGTTTTATAAGGTGTAATGAGATCAAAGCTCTTGCCCTTCCCATCACGAATTGTAGCACCTCTCGCCTCAATTACTGTAATTCCAATCCCATTTTTAAAGCACTGTGAAACACAAAAGAGCCAGCTTTTATTTACAAATCACTAATAAAATAACTTGCATAATTTTTTGTTAAACTGCACATATTCTTTGAGAAGTTACAAAGGTTTTATAACACTTGAATTGCATTTTGTAAGGTAAAGCAAATCACTGGTATTAAATCTACAGCGGTATGGCTATAACACAATTAACTATAACGTGATTAACTAATCACCTGCTCACTCTTGTACAACCAGATCTGCTCCATTATAATTGCGGTGTAGATCTTTGACTTGGTTCCTTTGAGCTCCAGGAAGCCGCTCTTTTGGCAGTGACTGCCGGGGCCAAAACGTGGGCGACCAAAAACCAGCTGTTCTTTGACCCGCTCCTGCAACGTGCTGCACCATTTGCTCCTCTGGACTACAAAAAGACATAAAGCAGGCCTCTAGTAAAACTTCAAATACGCTGTAAAGCGCTGTTCTACAGATCTATTGTAGACCTTTTTTCCTTTGATTTTTTTTTTATATTGAGCCACTATGTGTTTTAAGGACAGGTCATATCAAAACCACATCATCCGCCATGAAAAATGCTGACAAGGTCATTTGCAAACACAATGACATTTTGGGTTTTGTCAAAAAGCAAAGTAAAATGAATCTATTATCTAAAATTAATCTATTATCTAGAAGTTATCTATTTTCCTCAATCTGTAAATGACACAGGCTAATACGATGCAAGGTAGTGCATAGAGCTCATCGGTCCAAGTGCAGGCTAGCTAGCATCAACCCGTCTATTGACCCCGAGTGTGACGTGTCATTCTGGTTCACCTACTTTAATCCATATGTTTGGTCCTGTCCTTCTTTGCTTTCTTTTTGGAGGCAAATTTTCCTCTTACTGTCAGCTATTACCACTGTTGAAATCACCCCATGTCTAATTATTAGTTTATTTGTGGCTCTATTGCCCGAGCACACTTTGCCCTATCATTTTGTAGACTTTGTAGCCTTCTTAACCCATCTGGCTAAGCGATTATTTCTTCTGAACTGGAAGAGCCGTTACCCTCCTTCTCAGAATTGTTGGATAAGAAATTTTCTTTTTTTTAATGAAATTAGAGAATATTAGGTACTCTGTTCACCGACCTAGCACTATATTCATTCAATTGTGGGAACCCCTTTGCAAACATGTTCAAACTTTTCAGCTTGACTTGTCTCCTTCTGATTGAGTTCCCATCCCCCAGTTTCCGGCTTGGTACTGGATACTAGTTCTGGTCAACACATTGTAGACTTGTTTTTTCTGTATATAAGATTGCACTAGTGTTTTTCCTTTTTTATTTATTTTTTTATTATTATTTATTCATTTATTTTTAATAATATTATAATTTTTTGCTCAAAACACTCTTCAGTCTATTCGCTTATTGTTACATATTTATGTTGTCCTTTTTTCATATTTTTGTAATGTGTTTTACAATCTATAATCAATATATAAGTTATCAATTTGTGGCTCAAGCAAAAGATCAGGGTGTTGGCAACTGCATGGTTGCGAGTTCATGCATGAACTGATGAAATCTACACAAATGAAATGAGTTATTTTGAATGAAAGTGTCTTTAAATATAAAATCCTTAACTTCATAAATTTATCAATGTAAATTGTCAATTGTAAATTGAGATTGCATGAACTGATGAAATACTCCTTAAATGCAACACAAGTTATCTGCTGGAAGCTCAGTTAAATCGCTTGATGTTATCGATGGCATGGTTATGCATTCAATTCCCATAGAATGCATAAATATCTTGAATGCAACATGTCACATCTGCAAAGTGATAAATGTCAATACAAAAAAAGGGTTACTGCTTGGAGTTTAAGCAGGAAATCATGCTGTTAGAGAGAGTAATGAATTGATTCCCAGAGAATGAAAGCACTGATGAAATGGACACCTCAAGAAAAGGTTAAGAATGTCAAAAAAAGCAGCGCTTACCATCATTATCAGCTCGGAAGACAAATGTCCGGTGACTTGTCACTATCTCAAATTTGTTGTCTTTGGCTAGACGGGCCATCTGTATGGCAGCTAAAGGAATCACACCTTTGGGATAGGCATCCTGAAGGGGGAAAAAGACCATTTGTGTTAGGAATAACAGTGTAGCAGCATATGCGGCATCTGCAGAACACCACAAAGGAATGTGTGATGTGTTTATATTTTACAGATCTTCAGGAAGACTGAAATGCATAAAACGGTCACACATCACGATGAACCAGTTGATTGTAATAAACACATGCTGTACTATAAATTTGAGAACAATAAACATCCTACCCAGCCCAAAATACCATTTATTGGAACTTCCAAGCATGTATCATACCATAGTGTATCATAACATCTCCCATACCAGCTGAGATGAAAGGCTCCAAAAGAACAAAAATGTGTTTGTCAATCAGCTCCGTCTATTGTTCTGGCAGTTTACTTATCATTCAATATCGGTTTCGCTCTTGGTGTGAAAAGGTAATTCACAAAGATTTCTTGTTTTCTTTTGGTGTGTGAGGTCATTTAAAAGTCAATAGCATCTATTCAGTGTTGTTCAACTGTTTACCAATATTCGGGATAAGGCAGTGATGGTTAAAAACTATATTTAACAGTGAACAGTTCATTAAAAGTGACCGAATACAACATGTATATTTGTCTGCATGCTGATCTTTTTGACACTAAATATTCTTCTTTTAGTTACAGAATGCTTAAAAAAGATCATGATTTTCACTAATATTAAACAGCAAAACTGTTTTTAAATGAATGTTGATAGTAAACATAAATCAGCATATTTAGTGAGGACACCAAATAAAAATAATTTCATAAAAATAAACATTTAAAATAAATGTAAATTTGAAAAAAAAATCCATTTAAAGTAATTTTCTTATATATAATTTTTGAACTGAAAACTTGATGTGTTTTTATCTGTTCCAGTGCTTCCCACGGATAGACTCTACTTAGGGGGGCCGCCCAGATATATTAACAGCCGCCCAAGCATATTTGGTGACAGTTTTATTTACCAATATTATCTTCCATTTACACTTTTTTTTGTATCCACCCAAGATAACGAAACATCCACGTTTGATTAATCAGTGGAAAATCTACTCTCGCCTTACACATTTCGTGTACAAAAAAAAAAAAAAACACTTTGTGTGTGCGCAAGAACTGTCAACAACAATTCCTCAGACAGTCTCATGTGGTGTGCAGAGACCCACAGAGATGCGCCTGTTAAAATTTTTAAAGTGTGTCTGGCAACTACGACCGTTGGTTCTAAATCTCCCAAAATGTCTAGTAGTTGACTTTTGCTTTTTGCATTGCTCGCAGTAGGTAGTGCTGTTGCCTCACAGCAAGAAGGTCGCTGGGTTGCTGGTTGGAATCTCGGCTCAGTTGGCGTTTCTGTGTGGAGTTTGCATGTTCTCCCTGCGTTCACGTGGGTTTCCTCCGGGTACTCCCCCACAGTCCAAAGACATGTGGTACAGGTGAATTGGGTAGGCTAAATTGTCAGTAGTGTATGTGTGTGTGTGTGTGTGTGTGTGTATGTTTCCCAGAGATGGGTTGCGGCTGGAAGGGCATCCGCTGCGTAAAAACGTGCTGGATAAGTTGGTGGTTCATTCCGCTGTGGTGACCCCGGATTAATAAAGAGACTAAGCCAACAAGAAAATGAATGAATGAATGTATTTTGCACTGTCTGGAGCCAGCACCTAAGCTTTTCACTCATCATAGCACACGTGCTGCTGATGATGTGACAATAAAAGTGGTTTAAATTGATTTGATTTAAATGTTATGCCAATAAAGCAACCTGGGTAAAGGGTGTGTTACAATCCGGCTACCAGTGCAAGTATATTTCAAACCTGTGGGTTTTACAGTTTTACACAACAATAGTATTTGAGGAATCTAAAAACACCAACTTTAAAAATCAAAGTGCAAAACTGAAAATTGTCTTCTAACCATACCTCTACTGAAAACATGATTTTGTTAAAAAATAAAAACAAATAAAAAATGTAATGAATGCATGATATGACTTATGAAACCCTAAACTTTCATAACAGCCCGTTCACACACAATCATACCTTTTCGCTCCCAAAGTACATTAAGTTCTTCCCGTCAAATTTCACATATCGTTTCTGGAACACGTAGTTTCTAAAAAAAGAACAGAGACGGCATCAGAGAAAAACAACTACATCACACGTCACAACTGTCCCAATGTAATAGGTCTGAAATAAGGTCAGAAGGAAGTGAATCTAGACACTGGCAGCTGTCAAGCAGAGGACAGGAACAAACAGCAGGAGCCACAACACACAAAAGTGATGACAAACCGGCCATAGAGGACAGACAGGAAGCAGAAACTGAAGCCACTGAAGGAGATGCAGAGACGAGAGGAGATCAGGAGCAGGAGGCCCGGTGGAGGCTCGTACCCTTGAGGAGAGAGTTTGTCCAGCCAGCCGCTTAGGATTGGCGCTGCCCGCTCTGACAGGGAGGTGAAGCTGGCGTAGGGGGAGATGATGTCCTCGTCTGCTTCACTGGAGCACAGGTTGTGAGGGAGAGAGAAGGAGTGCGAGGATTCACCTACTGTACAGTAGCCTGGAGAGTCCAGACGCTTCAGCCATGAGTGATTGTGATGTCTGTGGGGGGAGAGAGAGTGGATACAGTACTGGAGTTTCATTGTGTTCCAAAACATCCTTACAACAGCTTACAGTTGAAGTCAGAATTATTAGCCCCCCAACATACATTTGTGGATTAATACATTAATGGAAATAATATTTTTCAAGACATTTCTATACATAATAGTTTTAATAACAAGTTTCTTTGCCATGATGACAGTACATAAAATTTTACTAGATATTTTTCAAGATACTAGTAATCAGCTTAGAGTGACATTTAGAAGCTTAATTAATTATGGCCCGTTTCCACTGAGTGGTACGATACGGTAAGGTTCGGTACGCTTTTAGGGTCATTTCCACAGTTAAAAGATACCAAATAGCAAACTGTATCATACTACTTTTCGTAAAAAATAAAAATAAATCAAAGGAGGGCTAATACTTTTGACTGCAACTGTGAAGGAATAGTTCATCAAAAAAATTCAACTAAGGATTGTCCTAAGGATGTCTTACTGTTGTCATCAGTGGCTAAGTGGTTAGCACTGCCACCTCAGAGCAAGTTCATGTGGGTTTCCTCTGGGTGCTCTGGTTTCCCCCACAGTCAATGAAATGAATCAACTAAATTGCCCACAGTGTGTAAATAGGAGAGTGTGTGAGTGTTACACAGCACTGAGGGTTGTACTGTTGTGGTTGGATGGGCATCAGTTGGTAAAACATTTGCTAGAATAACTGGCAGTTCATTCTGCTGTGGCAGCCACTTATTCCAAAGCAGGGAATAAACTGAAATGAAGTGAGTCATTTCTTTCCCTTATTGAAGAGATATTCTGAAGAATGTTGGAATGCAACAGTCATTGACATCCATACTATTTTTTGTTTGTTTAATGGATTTTGCTTTCCTGAACATTCTTTAAAATGTGTTCAACAAAAGAAAGAAAATCATAACTTTAGAATTACTTGTGGGTGAATAAACGGTGAGGAAATGTTTATTTTTGGGTGAACTATCCCTTTAACAATGGGAGGCTAATATGGAATTGATGCAAAGAATTTAAAACAGAAAGATTGATGAATAAGTGAATGAATGAATATGCTGCCAATAGGGAAGCTATGTGAAACTGAATCATAACATTTAAATTGCTTGGTATTGGAATAAAATCAATGTTAACTTATTTTTATTGAAGAGAGAGTTCTCATTTTGTTCAATTTAACTTAACTAAAATAACTAAAACTAACAATTAAATAAAATTAAAATAAAATGATTCATATATTAAACTTCAAAATGAATATACAATATAAAATATTATATAACATCTGTTATTAATAAACATTTTCTTAATTTCTTAATTTCATATTCTAGAGAACTTGCCGTGTAGCACATTAGCCATTTAGACGACTTATTCTACAGTTTTATGCAAATTTCAGGCTTGACAGCATGCTTCCCCATTTTCAATTTAAACAACCAGAAGAGCTGGAAAATTGTGCTATAATTCTCTGATTCATGCATGTAAAACACTCAGAATCAGGGGTTTTTAACAACATGAGAGTGAGTGAACACAATAAAAAAATTCTGCAAGCTATAAACACATTAAAGAAATGCCAAATCATGCTTACCCATGATCTCTCAGTTTATCTTCTTTATTTGAAGTCTTTTCTTTACTTTCGCTTCTCTCAACCTGAACACATTCAACCAAATATGCATGCAATCTGTTTGAGTATGTAACGCATAAAGAAAAAGCATCTAAAATGAAGTTCTCTCACTTTAGGTTTCTCACCTCTGAATGCTGATATTGTCGCTTGCTGTGGAAAACGGTTTCACAGTACGGATTGATCATGTCATCATCTTCCTCAGCAGATGCTGTACAAAAGGTAGCATAAGATAAACGAATAAGCAACATTAACATCAGATTTAATAGTCATGAAAAACACACTCAACTAAATCTAGTTTATTTTATGAAAAATATTAGATATTTATAGTTCAAAAAAAGCTCTCATATAAAACATATTACAGCATTGTGCGCACATGGGTGGAAACTTTTTAGCACATTGGTTTCACATGTACAGTACTGTTTAAAATGTTTCCTTTTTTTTTGAGTGTCAATAATGATAAAATGTCTTTGAAAAAAAGATTCTTCTTATGAAAAAGGCCGTTTTTATGTTTGCCAAGACTTCACCATTTATTTTGACAAAAAATGCAGTAAAAAAAACTGTAATACTACTGTGTAAAAATTCAGTAGGAAGAAAAATATTTTCTATTCTTTTTTTATCTTTTAAAATGCTATTAACTCCAGTGATGCAAAAAAAAAAAATCTGCGTCATCGCTACAGTCTTCAGTATCACATGATGCTTCAGAGGGCATAATGATATGTTGATTTGTTGCACAAAAAATATCTATTACCATTGTTTTATAGTATTTTGTGGAAAAAGTTAAACATTTTTTTCAGCACTTAACAAAAAAAAAACTGATTGCACTATTATTTACAACAGTAATTTGTTGATATTTACAATATAACATACAACAGTCTTTGCTATAATTTTGATTAAATAAATGCATACTGGCAAAAACAAAATATATAAATTTAGTTGAAAATATTTATACATTTCATACAAATCTTTAGTGCAGTCATATTGTACATGTCAGGACATTTTAACATCAAAGCACCAAATAAATAGTGTCAATAAACCTACCAGACGTTCTTTTAGAGGATTCACTTGAGTTCGACTTTTCTAAAGTGCTAGAGAGACAGAGAGAGAAACACATTAGTTCGTCAGAGCAAGAAACAGCATTTATATCACAGTAAAAAGAATCAGCATAATATAGATTTAATGCTGCACAAAAACGATGATACAAAAGTTTAGTTTGCCAATAAAACAAATGACATTTTTAATTTTTAAATCTTTGTAGTGCTTTCAGTTGTTTAATTAAATTTTAACCAATATCTCCTTTTATCAGTTTATAAACATTTTAGATTCAGTAATTTACCTAAACGTAAACTACATTTTCCATTTCTAAAGAAAACAGCGGTGGAACAAAAAATAAATACTTTTTAAGTTGACTGCTTTTCCCAACATTCTTCAGAATTTCTTCACTCGTGTTCAACAGGAACTCAAACAGGTTTGGAACAAGTTAAGGATGAATAAATGATAACAGAATTTTCATTTTTTGGGTCAACCATCTCTTTAAATGTAATTTTCCCTTCCCTTCCTTTCCATTTTGTCAGTTTGTCTTTTAATAGGTTTCATAATTATAAAAAAAAACATGGTTCTAATTGATATTTACTTGTTAAGAGCACAAGTACCTTAAAACAACCTTAGTGTAAAGAGAGTCAAAAAAAAAATCTTATATCTTGGGTCTAAAACTCAATTCCTGGTAGGGCCGCAGCTCTGCAGTTGTACTAATCAGAAGAGTCATGAACACCTTGATTATTTGGATCGACTGTGTTTGATCAGAGTTGGAGCAAAACAGTGCAGAGCTGCGGCCCTCCAAGAATCGAGTTTGAGACTTTACATTTTGAATAAGCCCGCTTAGTGACTTCCAGCGAACTTCCTTGCCTTTATACAATCGCCATGTTTAAGATCTGGTTTTATTAAAACCAATGATCTGCACTGCCTGATTGAGATATGACAAAGAATGTCTTACATCTGACAAGAACTATACAAGAAATATGGAACTTTATTGTACCACAGTATTTTCAGTGGAGTTTCAGCGCTCGCCACTGCTCCTGGTGGCACTTGTGTTTAAACAGCCTTTCATCTGGTAGTACACTCAAAGAGCTACATTAATGCTTGAGTCTATTTAACTGACTATCGTTTATTTAAATAACACTATGATGCTCTAAGAGAAAACTTATGAAATTAAAAATAGTCACATAAACCTTTCACCTGAAGTTTATTAGTTGCTGAAAAACACTTGCTGTGCATTTAGCCCATTGCTTTCCCAAAAATGTGCACCATTCAATCAGAATCAAGCATTCAACAGAACCATATTGTAATATGAAATATATTTGTCAGTGAGACATAGCAGTAAAGTGTCAATTAGTAACAAACATTTAGCAAAAAGGCTGTACCTATGATTTTCAGTGGATGGACTGGGCTCCTGACGTGGAGGGGGAACGGGTACAGAACGACTCCAAAACACATGTGGAGTGTCTGGTAAAGTGCCACAGTAGATTTCATTAGAGACCATCTCTAGCCCTGAGCAGGGTGGACTCGGGGGGGATCCAGGTGTGTTAGTGAAGGGAGAACACTGATAACTGGATGGCGAGTCTGGAGGGGTACAGAGTGGTGGGGTGCTTAGACGCTCCTGTCCCGACATCCTCCTGAACGTGGATGGAGGAATCCCTCGATTTAACCTGGGGGGAACCGGAGGTAACGGCCCCTCACTCTCTGGAGATAAAGCAGTACAGCTCAGACTTGGCTCTAAATGGCCCTTTTTAGATTCAGTAGCTGTTTTAACAGTGTCTGTACTGGATGAAAGAGAGGATGAATCGATTACAACTGGATCCTGAGATGACTTTCGGTGTTCGTGTTGCGTCGCTAGAGAGAATTTGTCTCCTCTCAGTTTGTGGAAGACAGTTCTTGGTTTTGGTACCGGCTTTACAACACTGGTGCTGCGTTCCGAGAATGAGCGCTTGACTTGTGCACAAAGATTGGGGGCAGAGCTGTTGCGTAAGGCTTGGAAAGTGGTGCCAGGAGGTTTTGAAGGGGAAAGAGGCTTGGCTTTGACAGGAGTTACATCGTGAATAGCGGATTCTGAATTACAACGATCTAGCGATGGCTCTTTGCTTTGATGTTGGCAGATCAGCTGAATGTGCTCCACCAGTTTGAGGATCCGCTTCCTGTGGCCGGTGGCAGCGACTCCGACCCGGTTCAGAGCGGCATTGTCCACATGACAGAAGTCTCGGGCGAGAAGAAAGCCTGCCTGACGGAAGTGGTCCAGATACCTCTCCAGGTGGATGGAAGCCAACAGGTCCTCTGCATCTGAGCACGGACCGATTGTTGCCATAGTGTGCATGAGGGCTCATTAGGCTGCATGCGGAACAGCAGCAGATTTAGCCAAGAGAAGAAGACCACACCAGTTCTTCATCTGCGATATCAAAAAGAAAAAAAAAACAGTGATAAAAAAGTTTGCTAACTGTTTCATTACACGCAAAACCATATCACTAAAATACTAAAGGTTATAGACCAGGAATGGGCAAACTTGATCCTCGAGGGCCGGTGTCCCTGCAGAGTTTTGTTCCAACACTAGTCAAACACACCTGAACAAACTAATCAGTGTCTTCAAGATCACTTGAACTCTATAGGGAGGTCTGTTTAAATAGGGTTGGAGCTAAACTGTGCAGGACACCGGCCCTCCAGGACCGAGATTGCCCACCCCTGTATAGACCCTCTGTGTAGTAAATAAATAATGTGCTGAATAACAACTAGATTTATAACACAAATAATCCCACCAAGGCACCAACAACAATACTTATCCATATTTAATTGTTGTTACTAACAAAAATATTAGTTATAATAAAGTTATAAACCTTTTTTTATTAATATACATTATTTATTTATTGCTTAATTTATGTTGTTGTTGTTGTTGTTGTTGAAGAAATGCAAAAAATGCTTATTTTTTATTATGTATTTAATAAAAGTATTATACATTTTGCTAATGTATTATTGTATTGTATTTTAATCAAATCTTCATGTTAATCTTCATCTCTTCATTAAAACAGTGTGTATAGTTTATTAATGCATTTTAATAATAATATTAATAATAATAATAATAATAATAATAATAATAATAATAATAATAATAATTTGGATAACTATTACTTATTGTGTGTGAATGAGAGTGTATGGGTGTTTTCCAGTGATGGGTTGCAGCTTGAAGGGCATCTCATGCGTAAAACATAAACTGGATAAGTTGGTGGTTCATTCCACTGTGGCGACCCCTGATTAATAAAGGGACTAAGCCTAAAAAGAAAATAAATTAAATTTTTTTTATTTTTTTTATTAATATTATATTAATATAAATATATAATAATATAATATTATTATTATTAGAAAGCCAGTATATTATATTACATTTTTATTTTGATCTTAAAGCAGCAAAAAAGACAAAAAAAGTTTTAAAACCATTGTTACATCAGTTCCTCCAGTTTTATACACAGGTTAACACTGTTATACATGTATTTCTAGGCCAGTGGGCACAGGCAATATGGTGATCTTGCAAACAATGATAGTGTCATACCTTCATAATGTTATGCCTAACATTTGACAGATCATTAAAAAAAGGGTTTCCAGGTGGCTTTGAAGCCACCAATGCTATCATAAGGATTGTGTCTAAAGGAGCATCCCAAATCGCATATGTATACACTATTCTACATAATTTTGTAGTATAAATAGTGTAAGTAGTGCGTTCACATTGAAAACTGTAAAAATAATAATTGCACTTTAAATACCAGGATGATGAGCTTATTCAAGCGATAAACAGAAGTGTGTAATGTTGGACCCTTTACACACTGAACGACCGCAGCTTTTGAGAGCTCATGTTGGATTACTTTGGCTGCGTCCGAAATCACCTACTACTCAGTAGGTAGTGCATTTAAATTTAAACACTACTTGGCCATTAGAAAAGTATGTTCTATACAGTATATGAATGTGAGCCGTGGGGCTATGCAATTAATCGAAATTGAATCGCAATCACGATTTGAAACGTTAAGATTAGCTTATCACAAGAGGCTGCGATATGAAATATACAGTTAAGGTCAGAATTATTATTGAATAGTTTTTCTTTTTTAAATATTTCCCAAATGATGTTTAACAGAGCAAGGAATTTTACAGTATGTCTGAAAATATTTTTCTTCTAGAAAAGTCTCCTATTTTTATTTTATTTTGGCTAGAATAAAAGCAGTTTTATAATTATAAGGACAAAATTATTAGCCCCTTTAAGCTATTTTTTTCGCTTGTCTACAGAACAAACCATCGTTATACAATAACGCCTAATTACCCTATCCTGCCCAGTTAACCTAGTTAAGCCTTTAAATGTCACTTTAAGCTGTATAGAATCTCCTTGAAAAATATCTAGTAAAAGATTATGGACTGTCATCATGGCAAAGATAAAATAAATCAGTTATTAGAGATGAGTTATTAAAACTATCATGTTTAGAAATTAGAAAAATCTTATGTCCGTTAAACAGAAATTGAGGAAAAAATTAAACAGGGGGGCGAATAATTCTGACTTCAACTGTGTATGTATTATTTAGTTTTCCACCACCAGAGAAAATACCTGACTGCCGTCTGAGTGTGATAGTCTTACTAGCCAACTGAGTGAGCACACTTTTGTTCTGCCCAATCAGAATTGCGCAACCAAACTAGGCGGAAAGCCCACAATAAAACAAATAGGAAAGTGCGGTCTAATGGGATGATGGCATCTGCAGCTTCAGAGGCTTTTTAAGTCCCATTCACTAAAAAAACGGTAATTTGCAAGAGCTGTAGCAGAAATGTTGCCTCACACAATTTCACAGTTGTTTGCAGTTATCACACCACATGAAAAAACATCACGACAACACCTGGAGATATCTAAAGCCATAACTCATTACTGTTTGTTTGCTCTAGTAAAAAATTAGTGTTTCATTTCTGAATATTCATAAACCATTTTGATTATAAGCTGGAGTTAGTTAATATCTTTTCAGTTCTTTTGTTTAACTGCATTTTAGCAGTAAGAAGCTACGATACAAAATATTGAGCTAAAGTTTGACTACAAAATTAAATCACGAATCAAATCGAAATCGCAAAGTCAAAAAAAAAAAAATTGATATTTTCCCCAAATCGCACAGCCCGAGTGAGCAGTATGAATGGAACTCAAACGTACTACTTCTGCTATTTTGTCATGATCATGTGACCTACCCCTGTCAGTTGCGTCGCTTCACTCCAATTCATAAATTCTCTCGCAAGGCATTATGGAAAAGTGCAGCGTCCATCCGATTCGCACTTCAGAATCTCACCAGAAGTAGTAGGTCATCCGAATACTTCTCATGTACTGATTTTCAAATTCTATCAATTCAGACATACTACTTGGCTCGCAGTGATTTTAGTATGGTATTTTATCATGATATTATTTGGTAGTTTGGTCATTTATTTCACTTATTTGGCGACCATCAAACGTCATCTGGTTTGAATTTCTGCTTAGTAAAAAAACTGTTAGTGTTCCATTTGGGACGACACTACATACATATACAGTACTACGATGTTGAGTGTGTAAGTACATAAGTACTAGTGCTGCATAGTGTATATTGTGCCATTTGGGATGCAGCTTAAGTCTCTCCTTTGAGGAGAATCTAAAAATTTTACTCCAAAATTCGTTTGAGCATGATAAAAAAGGAGTCTTAAGGACCCTTCTGCATGGTTCACATTTGTTACATTTGAAGGAGATAGAGGGGTATAATTTGGTAAGCTTAACCCTAGAATAATATAAATAAATCTAACAAAACAACTAAATGGGTAATAAATGGGTATTAGGTAATAGTGTAAAGGGTAATACCTAAATTTATAATACCTAACAAAATATCTCTAAATTTGACAAGTCATGGCTGACAGACTCGGTACGGATTTTATGACAAAGAGCATTTTTCAGCAGGCTGAGGCTGAATCACCCTGACATTTCCAGACCCTTCTGCCCTTTCATAGCCTCATTAAACCACAGAACTGGAACAAAACAATCAAACAAATCTTTATACCCTCTGAAACTGGGCATTCAGAGTAAAAACACAACTACAGAATTGAAAATCACGATAAGTTGCAGCACACAGAGAAAATGCAGGACCTGACACAATAAAGCCATATTCCATTTGGCTATTTTTAGAAGTCTCCATTCATTGAGGGAATGCTGTTGAAAGCATGGTCAACATGAGGGAACTAGCAGTCAACTCCACTGGGTGGGCCTGGGCCAAAATCTCCTTGTGGGTGGGGCAAAGCTCCTTCAGCTGGGATGGCATAACTTTGGGAGCGATCCTGTGTGAATGTTTTCTATAAACATTTCTGACACTTTCCTGACTGCTTGCTTGTGAAATTGAGAACAGTGACTTAGGAGGAATCTCAGGGCTTCCAATGGCACACACGACCAAACCCAGGAACAGAGAGCTGCTACATTCCTTGACCTCCGGCAGGGGCGGAGCCTAATGGGTGGGTGTGATGATTGGATAAACTCTCATTGCGACTCAAATCCACAAAGGATGCACAGTGTTCTCCATCAAGGGCATCTCAAATAGTTGAGCGTGTGTTCAAATCACAATCACTCAATTATAAAACACAATAAGAAAGTCAGAAATGTTTAAAAAGCCTCGATAACGTCAACAGGGTCGGTTTCACTCAACAGCTCTGAGTCGGAGTAGAAAAGCAGACGTTAGAATGCTGTTAAAAAAGGTTGATGAGTCATATCCTCGTCTTCCTTTGTCTGGACTCTGGATGCTAACCTTTGGCTCTGATTCACCGGATCCCATGGCAAGGGGGGAGGCAGGAAGCTTGTGAGGTGGACTGATAAAGTGTGACCTGAGGAAAGGAGAGAAACGGGTCCGGGTGTTGTCTTTTCCCCCTTAGTAGCAATGCACTAAAACTCTCTAGAGCAAGACTGTCATCATAAAGCCAAAGCAGTGGCAGCACATTTGGGGCCGTGATTTACTTACAGCTTGCACCACCACAAAGCATAGTTTGGAGTTTTAGAAAAGAACTATTGTCAGGAAATAAAGAAATAAATTGACATTTTTTTTAAGAAAATTACCTTTCAGAGGCAAAGTTTATGGGCAATAAAAGTGGTTTATTTGTGGCACGGGTGTAATGATAAATCAAATATTGAGAAATCACAAAATAAACAACATAAAAGTCGCTGTATTTAGCTGATGTAAGCAACACGACTCGTGATATTAATGGCTTGGAATAAAATAAATAAATAAAAACTGTTGTAGGGAAATGGAGAAAAAAATGTTGACATTTATTTCTGGTTAAACCTTTCAAGAAGTTTCCCATTCAGATGCAAAGTTTTTAGGCAAAAAAACTTTTGTAAATGAAAAATAATAATATCAAGAAATTACCAACTAAAAA